GACAAATAAAAAATTAAGACAGGTTTGCGTCTCGAGGTAAGATCTAAACGCGCCGCCTCGTCGAATTTGTGCCGCTTGACTCGGCTAGGACTCGATTTGCATGGATCGATCCCGCAAGATAAATCGTATCTAGCGGGAATTCCGCCTTCGCAGTGCGTCCAAGTCGTTCGGCGTTCATTAATCGAGCGAGCGGAACGCACTAAAAAAAAAAAAGTATTTATGAAATTGGCGCCAGTCTCTACAAGGGATATGATACACAGCTATGGGAAGAGAGCACACAACCGCAGAAAGAAAGAATGTAATTAGTCAGGTTCTTCTTTTTCTTGTAATTATATGACATACTACCACTTGTAGGTACTATTTCACAACTACACACCGTGAAAAATATGTTTGTTAACTCGAAGAACAATTATCTGACTGGAATAAACTCGAAAAAATTGGATCCAACATTTCATCGGAATTGACAATTTATTTAAGTTTATTCCAGTCAAATAATTATTCCTTGAATTAAGAAAATATTTCTTTGGTCAAATGAATTTTTCTTCTCAGTGTGGTGTTAATGTGTATCGCTATTTTTATTTTCTTCAGCGCGGGAACTATCGGGTATCGGCATTCGTTTGTGTTATCTCTATCCAGGAGGCTAGAGAAGAGCCTGCGGGCGCGCAACCCAAAATGCATCTGTGCAGATCGTGAGGCTCCTGCACGGCGTCCACGCATTTCTTCGTTCCCTCCCTCTCCCTTGCGGCGGCACTCCTCTCCGCCGCTCGCTCATTCATTAAGTAGATACCGGGAGTCGGCGAAGATCAAAAGGACGGCTCGACGGGCTCTCTTAATACCGGGTGGTGAGATAAGAACCCCGCGATAATGCAAGGCTCTCCGTCCGCGCCACGAAGGCGACCGACGAGGGAGAAAAATGACGGACCGAGGTGCTCCTACAACAATGGCGAACCTTGTCAATCCGAAATACGATTATCAACATTTATCGAAACATCGTGAACGAAAAAAGGGAGTCCTCCTCGAAACGCGACGTACCGATCACCGATCGAGAAAATAATTATCGTTGGATCGCTCGGTAATTAGTTAAATCGATACCTTCCCCGAATCCGCCCTGTATGCGCGATCACAGCGCGCTGGGTCGCTTTCGCCTTCTCCGTAGAATCGGGCTCGACTTTTTCCATTTTCTTTACGATTTTTCCCTTTTACTCGGACACCCGATCCCCGCCCACCACGGCAGAGAGTGGAGAATTTCACGCGTAAGGATTGTTCGTCACCGGTGGAGGGTGTCGAGATTGTCGAGGTTGTCGAGGGCGTCGCTGTGGGTGGTCCCGCGCTCTCGGGCCCCCTTTTTTATATCTTGGGCCCCTTCTCTCCCCCCTTTCTAGCCGGCCTTCCCTTCCTCGATGACGCCTAATGAAGTCGCATCGTTACGCGGACACCGGGGAACGTTACGAGGACGGGTTAATAAGGTAATCGTTCGGGGTAATGTTTATTCGGGCCTTAACGAACGGATATCGAGGCGGTCGGTTCTTACTCGGCGCGAGTAGCACGCCAACGAGCAATTACCGCATTCTCCGAGCGCGGAGTTTATTGCCGAGGTTCGATCGATTCGCTGAAAGCCCTCGCTCTCTGGGGAGGCTTCACGCACTCGGCCGTATTCGCGGTTTATCGCGCCTCGAGAGACGGGGCCTCACGTGGGCCTTACGTGGAAAAAGACAGAATTTGAGTAACTCGAGTTGGCAAAATGGTTGACTTGTCGCACCACTGGTTTGAGTATATTATCCCATCAGGAAGTGACTGCGACATATGAATTTGCGTGGGCCTTATGCATCCCGAGAAAGTACTTTACTTAGCAAAACGTTCGACTCGTCGCGTTCCCGGAATCGATACTTCTCCATGGGTAAGTGATAGCGGTATGTGAATTTGGTACAATAATTCAGCCATCACTTGAGGGTGCCAGAATAGTGATACGAAGGCACTGGTCCCGAAAGAAAGAGAACGGAGGAGTTATTCTTCTATTCATCCTCTCTCCCAATTTCGTCGTTAGATAGATGTCGCCACATTGCCCTGCATAACCGATTTGCGTTCTCTCTTTTCCGGTTCCGCTGTCTTCGCAGTCAACGAGCGAGGGAGATTCATTCGCCCTACATCCATGGGAAGATGTAGGAAGAGAGCGGGCTACGAGACTTAGAAAATTTGACATCGGGTCGTTGAAAAAATTGCGGCATAGCGCGACGTTAACCCTTTGCTCTCCTTTGCCGAGGGTGACTAAACATCGGCAATCGACATGTAAGTAATTTGGAGGGCAAAGGATTAAGCTTCCAGAATTTCTTTTTCCGCCCTTTGAGAAGCACAGCGCGTAATCCGGAAATGGAGTGATTTTACGGAGAGGCTAGAACCGGAGGGCACGCCCATGGTGAATGAGCGAGAACATCCAGAGCAGCGTTTTTGCGACCATTCCACCACTTCCGGCCGGTCAGAACGAATTCTCGACTCGTCCGCAAGATCGGCCGCTCTCTCCTCGGTTCCCTGGCCGCACTCCACGTTTAACCCTTTATTTACCGACGAGAGAAGAGTCCGGGCTGAAAGAAATTCAAAACACGAACGCGCCGTGTGCTCGACTCAGCCGATCGTTATCCCAGCCAGTTTTCTTTTCACCCGCGGCGCAAAAAGATCCCCGAGATCTCGCAATTAATAATGCGAGGAAATTGCCCCGTCAGGAGTTATGGAAATTGCGGGGCGAAAAAGAATGGCGGGGAGACTCGCGAGGTTAATCATGGTCGTGAGGTTAACTCGCCTACTTTTCGGTTCGTCGATCAGTTTTTCGACCTTCATGGAAAAATTCAGAAAGGTGTGGCCGACAAAATCGCGTAAAACCTCCGCTCGATCGTCCTCGACTCTCTCTTGTCCCTCTTCTTATCATTATTCCACAATTAAGTAATACCCTCCAATTACTCGCTAGATGTTAAGCGCCGATTAGTGCAATGTATTTAACGACCCAAACCAAGCGTGACAGCGTCACTCGATCTTGGAATTATTTTCAACTTCTGTCATTCGAATTAGTTTGGCACCAGGTGGACATAAGTGATACATAATCACGCTGTAAAATTGGAAACGATGCGATACACCCAGTTCGGGGAAAAGTTCCATGAACGATTGGCCGCTCGGATGCCATTTCACGTCCCCTTAAGGGATTAAAGGTCGCCTTTTTTTTTTCGACGGGCGATTTTCTTTGGTTTGAGATAATTCATGTCGTTTACATGGAAACTCGTAAGGACGCGACTCGCAAATCGGTAGTGCTGCTCCTTAAAGGTGTGTAAACACCGGGTGTGCGGGGTGACCGCGGCGGTAGCTCGCGGTGGTGTGTGCGGCGTGCATGTGAGCCCGGTGATGCCGGCAGTGTATTGGTCATGTTTTTGCTCGAGGGGAAATGGTATCCGCGTGTGTGGTCCCGCCGAGCTTCTCCCCCGCCCCGACTGGCCCGGCTCGCCGTATCCTAGCAACGGGGGACGCTAACCACGGTGGGCCAACCAGCTGCGACTTCTCGTAACTTCGGCAGCGCTCGACTATATTCGGCTCAGCGCGTCAGCGACGCGCGCAAGGTCGTGCCGAGCCGACGCCGGGGCCCCTTACTGACCCGCAGCTTCATTTCAGATTAATCCTGCACCCGTAATTTTCCCAAATTACGAAATACGAAATACACAACACGAAATATGAAAAATCGTCCCGGGTCTCGAAGAGGCGATTGCAGGGCAAGATTCCGCGACCGTTTCCTCGGGTTTCTAAGGATTGGGATTAGAAACATCGGAATTTCGAATTCTCACAATTTTGCCGAAATAACTCGAGTCGGCTCGTCGGCTATGAATTGATCAAGACTATGGAAGGAGGAGCGGTGAAAAAATAAATAAGGGTACTCCCCTTCTCCAGGGTTCGAGCCCCTCCCCGGTGCGCGCGTCCCCGACTCCTGGGTCCCCCCACCACTCTCGGGGCATCATCCCCCCTGCGCCTACGGCCCTGGGTGTTTGCGCCGGCTCGCCGATCTCCGGTCGGCCTCGGTGGAGGGGGCAGAGCCATCGACTATGGCCGGCTCGCAGGCAGGCCAGGAAAGAAATGCGGTGCCGCGTTTCGCTTAGTAGGGACTTAGACTGCTCCGAGCGGCGGTCGTGGAGACCTCGAGAGACCGTGAGAAGCCGAATCCGGAGTGTCGACGGAGGATCTCTGATTAACGTCTCCCTGGGAAGTCACCGGGGTGACCCTCGAGCTTCCTTAACAAGATTCGACCGAGTCCTCTTCCAGTGCGCGAAGACTCGCGCTCGAGCCGATCCCGAGGGACCGCATCGCGAAGGCTGGGCGAAAAAGAGAGAGAGAAAAGAACGGAGACGAAGAGAACGACCCTCTCATAGCCGGATGTCCCGGTGGCAAGGACGCCCGGGGACCACCATCCTCTGACGCCCCTCAAGAGTCAGTCGGGTCGACCTAACCTCAAAATCGCCGCCCAAAACAAACCCGACCCAGGGCCCGGTGATTCGCGTTGAGCGGGCGTCCCGGTGCGACCTAACCTAGAAAAGGGCTCCGAAGCCGGTCTCGCCGCGTGGGCGACCCATCGCACGCGTATCCAGAGCCGAGGACGCCGCGTCCCGGGCGCCGGCGAGACCGAGTGCGAGCTCCGGAGCGGGAGAGAGAGACGGAGCGAACGCGGCGGCGCAGGAGTCGCGCGGCCGGCGCGACTCGGGCCGCTCGACTAGAGAGCCCCGCGCAGCCAACGGCGCGCAGACCGCGCAAGCGTAGCGGCGGCGCCGGCGCATGCGCGGCGCGACGGCGCGAATCGGAGCGGCGAGAGTGCGAGCGGTGAAACTCCCCGCCGGCGGCAGTGCACGGGCCGCGCGGTTTCCAGCAGGGGGTAGGAAAACAGTGAGAGTGGTTCCTGGTCGCGACGCCGGCCAACCGTCTCTCCCTTGACGCGGGCGGCGACTCGACTCGGACGAGGGTCGCGCGTCGCTCCGGCGCAGATGCGGCCGGCACCATGGTCGCCGCGTCCGGGCCTGCAGGGATCCTAGCGGGACGCCCTTCGGGTTCTCAGGCCCCGGCCGGGTCCCAGCCGCAGAACGGCGCACCCCTCGCCACGCCGCCCGAGAAGGACGACGCCGGCGCCCGACACCGCTCCGACCTCTACGTCAGGCCCAGCTGGACCGATGCCGCGCTCGCGCTCGACCAGCTCGAGAAGGTAAGCGCAGAGGGTATAACGGTACCCCGTCTAAAAAATACCTATTTATCACGATTCCGTCAGCAGCTCTATTCGCACCCGGAGCATCGATCTTCTATCTCGATCGTACCCTTTTGTAAAGATGCGCTATGATTCATGATACGTTTTAGGAGCCTAGTACCCTGAGAAAAAAGATTCCTTCGACCACTAGATATTTCTTTGAATTGTACCGAGTAAACGTACTTTGGTTCCAAGGAATAATTATCTGGCTGAAATAAGTTGTCACGATTCCGACGAGATGTCTCGTTAAATTCATTCGACTTCACTTTGATCGAATAGTTGACTCAAGGATAATTTCCAAATGGTTTAAGTAATTATTTCTTTAAGGGAATTAAATGTGAAATACTTTCAACTAAACGAAAAATGGTGAAAACAGCTAAAAGTCTCCTAGGCTCGTATATGACTAAAATTTAACCGTCTCTGGTTGCACATTTTTCTCCGTGTGTACTTTTCGAATTATCGGGACATTTCTTTGGTACCGTTTAATGAGATATTTCTTTGGTACCGTTTAATGAGATATTTCTTTGGTTGAGTGACATTTTTTATCACGCATGATTACATGAAATCCTACCGGGATGTTATATTGCTGTTTTTAGAGATTTATTTCGGGATTTATCGTTTTTAGAGGCGGATGATAAATATATAAGGGTTCAGCCTTATGGCGTGAAATGAGACGAGAAAATGTGAAAATACGAATTTTTAAAATACACGACAGTGGTTGAGGAGAAACTCCCGGGGCTCGACGTCGAGTCGCGGGTCCGCGGGAACTTTGCGGCGGTTCCGGTGCGGAACGACGGGGTGGCCCCGGCTTATCCGCGCGAATGGGCGGGAAAATGTGCTCGGCACGTGAGCGCGTGGGTATCACCTTTCGCGGCGAGCGGTCTTCCTCGAGGACCTTCTTGGAATCCCCGATCCCCGCCAAGCCAGGAAACACCTTCGGGGAGCGACCACGGAGAGGGGGAAGAAGAATGAGAGAGACAGGGCGAGAGGAGGAACCAGTTCCTTCGATTCTCCGCTCTCGGACCTCCTCTCGGGAGCGTAGATTCTTCCAAGGGATCTGGAAACTCGCGCCCCGCCGCGGTCTCTAGCCTCGGTCTCTCCGAGAAACGGCCCGAAAGTCTCCCGTTTCCTCTCTTTTTCGTCACGCAAGTCGCGACCCGCTTTGAGGTCGTTGCCGACGAGACGGGGCTGCCTCATTGAGCGCGTCGCGTCGCCGCGGAAAATCCGGAGCGATATCTCCTCAGGGCGGAAACGACGCATCGCGTTAACGTAGGGCGAAAGGAGCAGCTGAGACACCATTGTTTATGAAACTTTTCTCGACACTGGGCGTACGGAATCCTTGGAAATTTTACAATGTGAATTTCGAAACTATAAGGAAGGTCTTGACACCCACGAAGTTTCATTTTTTTTTTATACAAAATCTTTAAAATGTCTGGACGAATTTTTTTAAAACTGAAATTTTCGTGGGTGTCAAGACCTTCCTTATTGCCTCCGTGTTCACGTTATAAAGTTTGAAACGATTTGCTACACCCAGGTTGAAGAAAAGTTTCATCAACGATTGACCTCTCAGATGCCATTTTCACATAATCTTAAGCGCGGGTTTGAGATTTTCATCCTTGACGCGTCGACGCTGCGCCCTTAGTGGGACGGTTCCAAGATGCGCGAGGTGCGGCCCTTAAGGGGTGGCGGGGTTCGGCCGCCATTTTCAATTCTAGACGTTAATAACCGATCGTTTCCCCTCGAAAGAGCAGGTTGGTGGTCTTCCGCTCTGGAGAGACCCAATTACCTCGAACCTCCTCGATTCCGATGCAGGACTCCTTTTTCTCTCAACAGTATATATACTCTTTATTGCCTCGTAATGGCCGCTCACGCATGATCGGGCCACCGGGCGAGCTTTCCATTTGCGACGTTATTTATGACGGGATCAATCAAATTTATCATTTAAGCGGTAGTAAAGCGCGGCCTTACTGCCGGTTTACCCTGGGCATTTATGTCTATATCGTCGGGAAGGATTCCTCGGCTACGAAATACTGTAAATTCACGTATAATCGGAACCTGTTTCGGCTGTGACATAACCGAGCCCGCTGGGCCGACTGTGTTTGCATAACGCGCTCTCGGCTGCAGTTTACTGCCACTTATGCCCGTAAAAGAACATCCCGAGATAGCTTTATCAACGGCAAGACCTCGCGTGGATTTTTCACCCACTTTCCCTGGGAAGGACTGCTTGTTTCTTCTCGAGGAAAGGACCCCCCTTCAAGATGGCGGCCATCGTACGAGGCGAGACCAGGTTACGTAACGAGTGATATCATTCGTTTAGGGCTGGGAATTATTCTTTTATGAGCACCTATAAAAGGTCGAAATCTGGCCGGGTTCACCCGGGCAGTTAAAACGTCGGGGTGGATTTATATCCCGGCGTAAATATATTAGATCCAACGACGCTTCCTCACCTACGAGGTGGATTTTTAATTTCGGTGATAAAGGGAAAAGGGACGAGTCGAAAGGGGCGCGAGGACCCCACGTGGACTCTTTTTTTTTTTCTCGCTCTTAGGTAGGAGATATTCGGCCTCTTCCGGGGAGCTCTCGGCGCTGACAATCGAAGATGCATTTCCGAGGTCGGCGCTCCACTTTTCCCGAAAGCGTGGCGCGTCGGCGCGCGTTCGGGATGAGTCAGTGACTCGCGGGGCCAGTGGCCCCCGCGCGCGAGTAGGCCCGAGTGGGTCCGAGCGGACCCGAACGGGCCTCAGTGAGCCCCGACCCCCGGCGCGTACTTGGTACCGGTTCACTTGCCCCCCGTCCGTGGCGGGCCTACTATCTTCCCGCCGCTTAACGTGCCTCCTTAGTCCAGCCTCCCTAGCGATAAAACGGTACCGCGTGCCGCCGACCCGCGCCAACCTCCGAACCTCGTCCTCTGCAGGTGGAAAATGTGGAGCCGCGATTTTCAAAGAGTCCCATTTTCGAGGCTCCGACAGGGCAACGAGATAAATTTTCGGAGGGTTCCGGGCATCGGTAGCGCTCCACCCCCCGGTTCGTCGGTCCTTCGGACACACCCCATGGTAGCCTCTCGGGCGGTGGTCGGGCCCTGCATCTCGTAACGCGTTAATCTCTCCCAACTGGGACGCGGCACAATGGCCGACATTCAGTCGGGTCGCGGCGGGCCGGATTAAAGGGCGCCGACGGCGCGCGGGTCCCTCGTGAGGCGGTCCCACTGAGCGCGGCGCGCCAACTCGGCGAGGATTAACGACCAATCGGAACTGTTTAACCACCCGAGGCGGTCGGTGGAATTCTAACCTAAGGCCCTGGCATGGTTTGGAGACAGCTTCCTTCCTTGTTTAATCGCGTCGTTTTTCGGACGGTCCTACAGAACGCGTCGCGTTGACGACCAATCGGAATTACCACTCTTAACCACTTGACACAGTTTGATGGAATTCCGACTTAAGGCCCCGACACGCTTTGGAGCGAGCTTCCTTCGTCGTTTCTCATTTTCGGAAAGTAAAGGAACAGCTTGCTTGTCCTCTTTTGGCCTCTGCTACCTTCGCCACTCTTGCACCCCAGTTTTCTCCTCTTTCACCTTTCTTACCCCTGGAAAGGGGAGGTCGCGTTCCGGCGTCATGGATGTCAGGAGAGAAAGGAAGAAATAGCGCAAGGGCCCGAGGGCTTTACGGGAGGCCGGCGGTCCCCAAGGGGGGTGGCGAACCGAAGGGCCCGGGCCGTTTCCAAGTAGCTGCGCAAATCTCGTAGGAAGGGCCCATATAGGGCGGCCGAAAGGGGACGTCGGCATTTCTTTCTACTTTTGACTTTCGACCGGGGCCCGCCGTCGACGCGCCCTATTCCCCTTGTCTAAGCGACGTCTCGTGAGATTTTCGCGAGAAGGGTAAACCCTAAACCTCAAACCATTACACCCTCGACCTGGCTTGACCCTTCGTGGGGTTGCGACTTTGAAAGCCGACACCCTTGAGCAGCGGGATGCTCGGAGCCAAAAAGAAATGTGAGAAACCACGGGGGAAATTGTACATCCGAAAGGACGCAGGAAAGAGAACGACTCGCGAGGAGGTAGAGTGATCACAGGTTAGGGGAAAAAAAAAAATTAAAGCAAAAGGGGAGCTTCATCCGCCTCGGAATCGCTCGAGCGAAGTAGTTTGGGTGTGTTCACGCCCACGCACGGCACGAGCGCGAACGGATAATGAGACGTAAGATCGTTCTGTTAAAATGTCACGACTTCGGCGAGAAATCGTTAAACTCGATCCACACGAATAAAACATCCAACGAATAGAATATCCTTTTCGAAGGGTACTCCTGCGAACCGGCTGAAATTTCAACGCAAACGTCCAACATTTATAAAAATTGACGGAGATTTTTAGACAATTTTTATACACCTAAGTGAAGTTTCACAATAGGAAACCGCGAAATGGAAAAACATCGGTACTTATATCAGCGAAAGAATATCCTGTTACTTTGAATTTCTGATTTTCAAAAAATGTAGGCCGAGACCAACATCTGCCTGTATTTTCCGAATCGATGGTCGATGCTTTGAGGGTTGCGCACCTCCTTAAGTGACTGTTTCTTTTTTCTTTTTGGCCAAGATCCTTAAATGTCAGGGAGAAGGACGGGTGCGCATAGTTGGAGCGAGAGAGCGAAGGAAGGGAGAGGGACGAAAAAGAGGGACCTTATTTCCCTTAAGACTCGCGCGATCTTGGGCCTTATGGGGTTTTACGGCGGTGGGCCGCATCTGCGCGTCGCGGGCCCCGCGTGCGGGACCACCATCGTTGACACGAGATCCTGTTATGCCGTCTGCTATCTCCTCGCGGCCCGGCTCGCGCTATAAAAAACATTAAAAGTACGAATAACATAAATTCGTTAACGTATCCTGGCGAGCTCGGGTGGCGCGACCGGGACCTCGGATTACGGACGTGTGCACGCTCACCTCGAGGCGCGCGCGCGAGAGTGCATCCCAGATATGCGATCTTCTTACACTGCTGATCCGCGTAAGAAGAGTAACCGCGGCGCCTTAAGGTGATGTGAAAGTGGTGTCAAAGAGTCCTCGTTTATGAAAACTCTTCTCCAAATCAAGCGCACCGAATCGTTTCAAACTTTGCAACGTGAATATAGAGGCTGCAAGGAAGATCCGACCCCCCATGGAATTTCAATTGTTAAGAGATTCGCTCCCAGACGTTTCAAAAAAATGGTATAAAAAATGACATTTCATGGGAGTCAGAACCTTCCTCATAGCCTTCATATTCACGGTGTAGAATTTGAAACGATTCGATACATCCAGTTCGGAGAAAAGTTTTCACGAACGAGACCTCTTTGACGTCAATGTCGCGATTAAACCTGTGACTTTTTAGCACAGGATGCTGATCACCGGAATTATTAGCGAGGTGCACTTCAGATTCGATGCGATCGGTCCCATTGTTTCGGTATTCCGTCCAAATTTCCGTCGGCCGAATACTTCAGCCGGTTAGTTGTAATCGTAACGACTCCTTTCCGTGCAGTCGGGGAGCGGCTCGTCGCGCGTCGCCTTAAATTTGCACGCCGCGGCGGAATTACCTTTACAGCCGCGGTAAATCTTTTTCGAGGGCCGGTCCCCTCCCGGTGCCATGTGGTCGACGGGATTCGGCCCGCGTATAGAGTTACCCGAGCTGCCCTCGAGACTTGTACGCGTAGCTAATTGGCTGGAAAACCTGGCTATCCGATACCGCGAGCTACCGCCCCGAAATACGTGAGCGTAATAATCGCGTCCGTATTTTCCTCGATCCATATCCCCCGGGGCTAAGAGTACCCGAGAGATAGAGCCCCGGGGTACGTCGGTTGGTCGGCTCTCTCCGTCGCTCCTTTGTGCGCGCCGCCGCGGCCCTCGGTCCCTTTCGGTCCCTCTCACTCCCTCCCGTCCCTCCTGCCGGCCGGTCGGTCGGGAAAGATAGGCATTGTTGCGGGTGGTCCGCGCGGAGCACATTGTCGGACCGGCCACCAGGTAGCGTGCGGCGTTGCCGCTCGCGATGTTGCGCCGCTCGCCGGCCTTTATGCGCGCGCGCGCGTCGCCCGTCCCGAAAACCGCGCCGAGTTCTCAGGGTGGTTCTGACGTAACCTCGGTTGTTGCAGGGCAAGGCGGAGGGTCAGAGGTCGGCGGTGTGGATCAGGGCCCGGCTGCAGGACCAACTGAGCCAGCTCGGCTACTTTCTCCAGAGGCACGCCGGCAAGGTCCTCTTCGTGGCGATACTCGCCCTCGCCACCTTCTGCGTCGCCCTAAAGTCGGCCCAAGTGCACAGCAAGGTCGAGCAGCTCTGGGTACAAGGTAAGCTCGCCATGAAATGCCATAAAACGCCTTAAAAAATGAGAAAAAAGCCCTCGCGCCGATACCTAATTTCCGCACCAACTGGGCCGTCAATATCTCGCGATACGAGAATGGAATTGAGACAATGGGCACATGATGTGCATCGTAAGCAAGAGCAAGTGAGGGTCAGCTATCCAGTTGAGCCCGGTTTTTATTTCCGCAGTAACTTGACCTTAACTTGAACCTAACTTAATTGTACACTGTGTGGAATTTATGGGGAGCGTATATGATTTACTTATTCCCTCTAACCTTTGTCCCGATCCGCGCCGCCCTCCGTGCGACACCGACGCGGGCGGCGAGATTTCGACCACGGCATCGGAACGGAAAGGAAAGGCGATCGCGGCGCCTCTAGTCGGCGTTTCCGGTCTCTCGATGACCGTTATAAACGCGCGAGCACGCTCCGGCATCTCGGCAGGATTTGCTCTCGAACGTCTATATCCCGAGAGGGGCGAGGGTTCTCTCTTCGCCCTTAATTTCTGGCGTTGCGTTTTTCGGGCCGCAATGGCGGCCGCGCGCCTCGGGGTTTTCCTCTCGCGGCGCGCGCAGAACTGTCGCTAATGGCGCCTGTCACTCACCGGGAGCGAGTCGGACGCCCCGCGCGTCCCGCGATGTATTCTCGTGCGTTCGCTCGCGGCGGAACACAGAAAAACGGCAGGGACAAAAGGAACGTCGCGAGCCGTACCCCCGGCACGCATTAGTTGCGCCTTGGGTGGCCTCTATATTTATCCACGACTCGATGTTAATTCAAACGCTCTCCGCGACGGGCCGCCGCGGAGCGGCGCCACCGTCGCCCCTCCCTGCCTCGCCGAGCTTCCTCCCCCGCGACTCCGAGTCTCTGACTGCGCTCCACCTTTCCTCCCTCTCTTTGATCCACTCGCCATGGTCTTTTCTCCGTTTCCTCGGAAAGTACGGTAATTAAAAGCAGCGGCTGAAATCCGAAAGTCTCCCCGACTCGTGTACGCGCGTACAGTTCAATCGACCAATCAACCGTTCTCGTGCATTGGATACGTGAGATTACACGCGTAGACGAGATTACACGTCCCGACACGACGCCTCGGAGAGATTATACGTCACGACGCGACTTCTCGGCGAGATTTTACGTCACGGCGCGGCGAAAGCGACCCTCGGGGTTAACCCTTTTAGTGGCGGACATCGATACATCGTCGTGCGACAAATGTCCAACGATTTCGGTCGGCACTAAAAGGGTTCAAGCGATATGAAAGTAGCATCAAGGAGGTGTTTCCGTTCGCGAAACTTTTCACTGAACTGGGTGTATGGACCCATGAAACTGGCCATCTCGCCCGACGGCTTTCCCTTGGGGGAGGTGGGCAATCACCGCCGCGCGTTTCCCGGGTGACAGACCAATCGGAAGGTGCGGGCCGGCGCCGTGTTGCCGCGTGCACGTGACGCGCGAAACCGATCGCGCGGAGAGATCGATGCCGGATATCCGCGAGCGACGGCTCGAGGGATGCGGGCCCACTGTCTCTCGTCGACTCTGTCGAACATAATAGTCCACGCCCGTACGACAGCCCGCGGCTGGACTCAATGAGTCACGACGTCGCAGGTTCGCTCGCCGGTCGAGCCTCCCCTGATTCGAGGGAACGTGCCAAGTGCGCCGCCATCTTGGCCCGGTAGAGCGGTCCGTTTTTCACGGCGACGCGGCCGCGTTATTTTAGTTCGACGTGCCCGGCTAATCCCGCGATCGTATTTCCGTCGGTTCGTTTTCTTTTTCTCTAGATCCCATGGGAACGTCGGCCGAACTCGTGAGCACGTGGCCGGGGACCACGTGGTCGATATGCATTCGGATGCACGTGCCCACTGTGCAGGGTCATATGGATACAAATACCCGCTTAAGGTCGATTTACATGCGTGCAATCCGTATCCATTCCTTTCGATCCATCGAAAAGGATATAAAGTAGCTAGTCTCGCCCTGAAACTGCCGGAACACTCCGGATACTGAACTGAACCAACACGGAATGGATCGAATGCGGATAAATCGACCTTTAAAGGTTAGCCCCGCGCCGACGCGAGTGACACTCGGTGACGTCTCTCTCTCTCTCTCTCTTCATCTCCCTTCCTGGATATCTTGAGGGCTGCTCTTCCCTTGGTTTCTTTCCCGAGGGGGAGGGGGAGAGGAGATAGGTTTTACAGACTATTCCAGGAACGACGGTCGGTCCTTTGTAAACGCCCAAGTGGTGGCCGAGTCGTTAAAACCACTTGGTTTTCGTACACCCCGGGATTTCGGGGCCGACGTCTCTCCCCGGCCTCTTCTCTTCCGAGATGAAATATCGAGCTCGCGCATGGACCTTCGATCAGTCGGTCAACCATGGATCAGAATTACTTTCGAGCTTCCAGATCTCTCGCACTGATACAACGTATCGATCGCGTGCGATGCAAATTTCTTAGCGGTCGCGTCCCCGGCGATACCCACGCGAGACTCGTTCCCGGCTCGTTCGCTCTCCCCTAAAATTAACACCTAATTTTTTCCCGCTCCTCTTTTCGAACCGAGCACGTCGCACCTCCCGAACAGCGAGGAGAGGGGACGCCCTCGTGGCCGCTAGACGCGAGGCCGATACGTGGGATTCTTTGTTACACGACGCGTCGCCTCGCCTCGGTAAAAAAGGTGCCCCGGTAATCGCCCGTTCGTGTTCGGTCCAATTAGGCCAAGCCTACAGGGCGCTTCACGGCGACCGTCCCCGGATCGCTCGGATCGGTTATCGCGCCTCGGTGGGCCTTAATCGCGATCTTAGCGGCAATTACGCGCGCGATTCGCCCCGCGAATCGCCGATCGTCCGGTTTCTCGAGGCGCCGCGTCATCGTCATTCGTCCCACCGAGGACTGCCGGACAGTTTCCACCGAGGGGCTATTCCTTCAGAAATCGGTGAAAATCTTTGCGAAACGTTTGCCTTTGACTTCGTATGATAAACAACTATGCGATTCGGTAGCAAGGGACCGTCGGCCTTAAAAAATTGTGAGAACGTTTCGGTGATTTCCAACCATTTTCCAGGGATTTCTGTTTGCAATTTACAGCTGATTTTAACGTATTATTAAACTCTACGGTTTCCTGAGTGAATACCCCCTTCGGTTTCCCCTCACTGTGTGGTGGAGACGTTGACCGAAATTCGATCAATATTTGGAGAAATTTAGGGGAAAATCGCCCCTCGTGGCGCGATCGATTTCCTTCTCCTGTATATTCGTATCCTCTCTCGCGATTACGGAAACACTGATTAACCCTTTTAGCGCCGACCGAAATCGTTGGCACTTATCGCAAGACGATAAATCGTTGTCCGGCACTGAAAAGGTTAATTTTACCGATAAATCTCGATCTTAATGACAAGGCCGGATTCTTTGGATGCATTTCGCTTTCACGGCGATCGCGTATGACGCTATCGAGGCATTGCAGTTATTCTCGTTAAACGGGACTTGTCGAGTGATCGAGGCTTTCTGTAAGGGCCTGTATCTCGAAAGAGGAGCGCGCCTCGGTGCGACGAGGAGAGACAGAGGACGAAGGCACGACCGTGCACGAGGGCCGGTCGACTGCTTACATCTTCATTAGGCCCCCATGCCTCGCCGGGAGGGAGCGAGAGAGAAGGGAAGGGAGAGGAAGAGAGCGAGCCCCTGCGGGGCCCGCCGAAGACGAGAGAGTCGGAAGACCGCGTCCAGAGACCCACCGGGAATCTGTTGTTGTTGCACCGACGGCCGGACGGACGGACGGAGGGACGCGTACACAGAGGATCTCATCTCTCGTTTACTCGGGCATCGCCCGCCGGCTGCGAGCGGTGCCCCGTAAACGATCGTTTACCTACCTGTCGCGGCACCGATACCGCGGACGTCCCGCCGCGGAATGCGTCGGATCGGGCATCGGCGGTGAAGCGAGTCTCAAGTCGCGAGTAACGCCGGAAGCCGATTGGCTGGCCGGCGGACCAATCGGGGCCGCGTGAGGGTTGCCGACGCGCTTGCATGCGCGGTCGACTTGGCTTTCGTCAGATCCGCGTCGGCTGCGGTGGAGGGAGGACGCGTGGATCTCCGGATTCCAGGAGCCCGGGGAGGAGGGGCGGGAGATGAGGGGGGGGAGAGACCACCCCGATGCACGGCGGGTTTCAAAATTAGAATTCCGCGGCAGCGGGCCGGCGCCAGCCGGCGCGCTCGTCTCGGGCGTGCCCCGGGGCGAGTCGGCGCGGCTGAGAGCCCCTGGGATCGGACGGGCTCGGTTCCGGTGAATGGTCGAGGTGGGTGGCCCGCTCGGGCTCCGTGTGCGCGGCCCGGCCAACCAGCCGAGCACCGGTGGGCCCGCGTGCCTGAGCGGCCCGGTCTCGGCGGGCCGCGGAGAGCGCTTCAAAGAGCGCCCCGAGGAGAGCCCGAGCTCGGCCGGCCTCGGCTAACCTCGGCCGAGCTCGGCCCAACCTCGGGCCCTGCGCGGTCGGCGCGTACCGCTGCGCCGCCACTCCGTCGAGGGCCGGCCGAGAGAGCTCGCCGAGCTCTCCTCCGGACCGGCGCGGGCGAGGAGGCCCTTGCTGGACCACTACTATCCGTCCGGTGGGCATCAACTTCGAAAGCGCCGAAAGGGTTTGGGCCTCGGCCCGGCCTTCGTCGAGGAGGCCCGCGAGCACCAGGGCGGATTCGACGGGAGCTTCTTAATTGGCAATTTGTATATACGGATATAGAGTAGACCCGCGACCGGAGATATACCTGCAGCTGCAGGGGCTCCCAACCGAATGCGCTTACCGTCCCTTCGTCTATTCGTTTCCACGTTCGAGAAGGTTCCCGGCGAGGCCTTGCCGAGCTCGCCCCTGTCACCGCCCCAGCAGAATGGATCCAACGGAAGAGGGCGGGACCGGGGCACGCGAGCCAACGTCTTCCCCCGCCGTTAAACTGTCGGCACGGCCTGCATGTCGACGAAAACGTCCCTCGGGCCTTTCGAGGAATTCGGGAAGTCGACCGGCCGAGGCGACGGCTGACCGGAACTCGCGGCGTTCTTCTATCCCGCGACACCACCATCTTTGATTCTCAGCTGATCCTTGCCTCGTGGAGCAAGTCTCGCGCGTGCTCCCGGCCTAGACGGACTTGAAAATAAATAAATAAATAAATAGACCGATCCTCGATCGAGGGCAGGACTCGCGGACTCTTTTCCTGACCCGGTCGGCTCTTTTTGCCGCCGGGCCGGACATTCCTTTCTGCGACGTCGATCCTCCGCCATCTTTCCGATCGACCGGCGCTCTCCGCTCTCCTCTGGGGCCACTTTCTCCTCCGCGCTCGCCCCGCCGCCACGTGAGGATCATTTCCGAGATTAACGCGAGACGTCGTTATGCCTAATAAACCGCGAGTTACGGGCGGCGGTCGTCTAAACTGGCTTATTAATTAGCGCCGACGAGAGAGCGGTTTCGCAAGGTACCTCTCTCCAACGGGAGGCGCCGGACGTTGCGCCTGCTTTCCTTGGACCTGAATCTTTCCCGGGGCAGGAGGAACGAACGGACCGCTCCCCGTGTGGCGTGATTATGCGAGGCGTCCTCCTTTTTTTGGAACCGCTCCTTGGGAAAGATTCTCGAGGCTTCCGGGAAATCGGGTAGTCGTGGTGGGCCCGTGGGCGGTTCGGCAGCCGGCAAAGTACGCGTCCTACGGATAGAATCTTTGATTTATAACCCAATAACGAACGACTTACGATCTTACTCGAGCCTGAGGAAGGGAGGAAGGAATGGAAGGGAGAAAGAGAGACGTCCCGCCGGATGCGCGAGCCTGTCGAGAGATCGACAGGATGTGACGTGGTTCCCTCCGGTGTCGTGTACGGTGTCGAACTTTAGACCGAGGGTGGAAATTGTGGTAAATCATTTATATTAATGAAGAGCCAGTGTATACCGGAAAGAGTATAAAGCTACTTACGACAATGGCATAGATGTTACCCGGAGATGCAACCACGCCTCTAGGTCAAATTGCACGCCAAATACGGTACGAATTCGAAGCTTCGTTTAGGAAGGGAAATACTCGTAGAAGCATTTGCACCTGAATATTTGAATTTATGTATGCCCTTAGGGTAGGTATTTGTTGCATCGCGTGGAAAATTAAAAGCTTTATATGACGAAGTAAAAATACTACGACCTGTCTTGTAACGTTTAATTTTTCCGATATAAACGATTTTGGCAGGCAAATGACAGGACGATGCTCGGAAACGGCACCCTTGTCTCACGCGAGCACGTGGGAACGTATAAATCTGCTCCTCTTCTCTTCGGCATTCTTCGGCATTCTTCGGCTCGGTTCGTGGTTTGCGCTCGTGCGGTGCGGCGTTGCGGTTATCGCGCGCACTTCTCGCCCGGGTGCCGCACCGGCGCGAGCTCTCGGTCGGGAAACTCCGGACAGGAGGGACGCGCGCACCTGGGTCGCGCGCCGGCCGAAACGAGGGAAAAAGAAGACGCGCGGCGTCTCCCTCGGGGGCATCGAAAATGGAGAAAAAGGAGATCGAGCCACGCCGCGGATAACATAACGAAACAATGGAGCCAATGTCGGACCGCCCGGTGCTGAATGGCCAGTGGCCGAGAGAGAGAGGAGGAGAAAGAGGGAGAGAGGGTGAGCGGTGCGGAGGCGAGGCCGAGAGAGAGCGGCCGACAGGGGCAGCTCGCAGCGGGCAATTACGGTAGCCGGAAGGGGACAGACGGGAGGGCCCTCTCTCTCCCTGTCTCTCTCCCTCCCTTGGCCCGCGGAAGGGAGAGACAGGGACGGAGAAATAATTACAGAGACGCCCCGTCGATAAATCAAGTCGCTCTCCATCCCTCTTCCGCTCCCTCGTGGCTCGATCCTCTTCTCTCTCGCTCCCCCGGCCGGGCCCCGCGGTCCCTTCCTTGCCGACTCCTCGGGGTCCCTCCGCTGGTGCGCCGTTTCTTGCTTCGTAGAGCGGAGTAGTGTCTTTATTACGGGAGGCTCCGCTGCCCGCATTCTACAGGCTGATTCATCCTCGCGGACGAGCGAGGGTGCTCCTCCTCCGGGGGACGGGACCGAATGGGAAACGAAGCCATGTCCTTCCCGGAAGCTATCGAGAACTTGCTAACGGATCGATTCAAATAATAAATATATACATGTATATAAATATGTCGCGAACTGCTTGCCAGAGACTGTAGATGAAATCGTTGAATAGGGAACATTTATAGCTTTCTTTACAAAATATTCTCCGTAAATTAGCAAATGTATTTGCTGCAGCAGCCAAAAAGAATATTACAACTATGAATAGAATTTGTGTTGCCCCCGTGAAAAGATCGTTTTTTCTTTGCTGCCAAAGTAACGAAAATGTTTCTGGTCCATTTTCAAGTGTTCACGTTTGTTTCTGCAAGTGAAATTTCTTGCAATGACCGCGAATTTTTTTTCTGCGGGTAGATATTAAAATATATCCATCTTAAAATTATAGAATTTGCCGTTATGATACCCACTGCCGTGCCTACGGAAGTACCTATAGACGTATCGGTGACTTAGCGCGAAACTCTACCGAGTCACCTGATCGCCCCTGAATGCTAGCCGGAGACCGGGGGTGTCGATGCTGCGCGAAAGCAGGCCATCGCGAGAGGACCTCTTTGTGCTCGTGCTTATCTCTTTCCTTTAGTCGACACATTTAAGGGCAATTATAAATTTGTCCGTCGCCTCGGCCGACGGGTTGAGAGCCGCTGGAGCGGAGCGAGCCGGGTGGTCCCGAGGGCCTTGCCGTAGCGCCGCAGCGCGCAGAGCCGTAGCGGAACGAGCAAATACGTCGTCGGCATTTTTGACGGTGAAATCCGACTTGGCGGGGCGCGACGTCCGTCACCCCTGCCCTTGGCCAATTATGCTCGGGAGTGGTCGGAAGGGATTTGGAAAATCCACCGCCAGGGCGGCCGTCGAACCAAGAACGAACACCGCTAATGAATCGAACGGGTCGGCGCCTAACGCGCGCGAGAAAGGGGGGCCCAGTTACCCCGTTATCACGCTTGAATTAATGCAAATTATTCCATTATATCGTGGTTTATCTTGCAGAAGGCGGAAGGCTGCAGAGGGAGCTGACGTACGCCTCGGAGGCCCTGGGCGAGGCCGCCGCGTCGACGCACCAGCTCGTCATCCAGACGCCGAGGCACTCCGGGGCGAACATCCTGCATCCCGCCGCCCTGAAGGAACACTTGGCGGTCCTCAAGGCGGCCACCGAGGTCACCGTGCACCTGTTCGAGATGTAAGCTGCCCCGGTTATTAATAATGCCGCGCGATAAGCGCGCCCCTAGCGGGGGTCAGGGCTCCCGAGCACCCGGCCGCCATCTTGGATCCGTCGTATCGTCCGATATACGGCGGATCTCTTTTCGTCGTTTCTGTTTTTTTTGCAAGGGTCTCGGGAGTCTTCACCCGATTTTCGGTTTTCTCCTCGAGGTTCGATGCCCCCTGTACTCATATGCGTGTACTTTGTCTCGTTTACAGCACGTGGAGGCTAAAGGACATGTGTTACGCGCCGAGCATACCCAACTTCGACATGCACTACATCGACCAGGTAATTCGAGCCACCGGAGACGCAACTTTACAAGCCCGACGCGCATGCGTCCGCATTTCGAGCCTAGGCTCGTTCTATGAGAGGGCGCTTTCTTTGAAACGTCGGTTGATTCTTTTCCTGGATCGTGCAGTAGGAGCGAATCACGGGGGGAAAAAGGATGTTTCGAGGGAAACCGCGGAAAATCGATGCCGCAAAAAATGGCTCGATCTCTCGTAACGAAACGGACCTCGGGCTCAGGCACGGGTAGATGCACGTGAGACGCCAGCGAGCACGCAGAGGGGACTAAACTAAATAAGCGGAGAGGCAATTAGCTTCGCGTAATGACGGGGTGCGGCCGCGCTTCCCTCTCTATTCCTTTCTCTCTCGCTCCCTCCACGGCGGTGTCATGTGTGGTCCGGCCCTCTCTCCTTCTTTCTCTCTCCCTCTCTCTCCCACTCCCCGTCATTATACGCAAATGCGACCGAGCGCAGTAAATACCCGAGCGAGCACCGAGGAGACCCGAGAGGACGCTCTCGGGGAGGGCCGAGCGAGGAACGTCCTGTAATCTGCCGCTTCCGGTTTCTCGAGCCGACTCTCCGTCCCCCTGTCTCTCTCTTCCCCCCCCCCCCCTCGAGCCAGCCTTCCGAAAGGTATTTTCCTTTCCTCCATCGGGAAGACGCGGTGAGCCGGACGGCGATGCGCTCGCGTCGTCGAAGACGTCCTCGAGAAGGGGTTGAAATTAAGGTGGCCTGAAAGCGGCATCCGAGGTGTTTTGTTTATGAAACTTTTCGTCAAACTAGGTGCACCGAATCGTTTGAAACTTTACCATGTTAATGTGGACGCCTTAAAGAAGGGATTGACTCGCGGGAAATTAAATTTTTTTGCAAAAATTACGAGATCCTTCATTAAAGGGAAAGGTTCAGAGAATAAAATTTCATGAATTTCGGAACCTTCCATAGGGCCTCCAAGTTCCTGAGATGAAATTTCGAACGATTCGGTACATCCAGTTCGGAGGAAAGTTTCGCGAACGAGACCCCTTTAGCTCCATTTTTATGCCAACTTAATGGAGGTGATGTAAATCGGTAAGGGGAGAAATAGGGTAAAGTCCCGTCGAGAAACTTGATCGACGTTGGTAAAGAAGATTTTTCTAAGTACCCACGTTGCCGACGTTCGTTTTAATATTGACTGCTGTGTCGAATCATATTGAGTATTGTACTAAATGGCATACTCCATCTGTCGTTTTCTGGTCTGGGTTAAGTTGACATTTTTTTTTCGAAAATCCAAATTTGGAACGTATCAGGATAATTCCTAGGTGCTCACGAGTCACCCGTAAAAGTTTCACATGGGTCGATACAAACCCCTAAAAATAAGCGTTTTATTCGAGTCGATTGATTTGAGGGGGGTTTCACTTCACCTTAAGCTGACATTGCGAGAAATAAAATTAGAGCCACGAGTTAATGCGGGTGAGTAATCTTGCACCGAGTCGGTCGGTGCTCGTGGGTGCATTGCGAGTGCATCGAGGGCGGGGGGGGGGGAAACGCTCTCGTCGGGGGAGATGGCATCGTCCGCACGCAGCCTTCGCTCATGAAACGCGTTTTGAAGAGTCCTTCCTGGAAGCGGAGAAAAACCTAATCTACGGTAATCTCCCCTCGCCGGTCTCGCTGGTGCGACAGGGTTATCGAAAGATAGACTGGCCGCTCTTCTGTTTCCAGAATCCCCTGGGTGGTCCACGTTCGCCTCCTGCTCGACCTCTCCCCTCTCAACGCCGTGCAAAAGGACCGCTGAGTCGGTCGCTAATTTCTGCGTTTCGCTCAAATCGTCGCGCTTTATCGCCCCGCGTGCGCCGTCCTTCTCTTTGCACTCGCGCCTCGCGATGCACTCTAAAGGCAGTGGCGCCTCGTAGCTATTCACGAAGGTGCGATGTACGACGCTTCTTTCTTTTATTTTGCAGATCTTCGATAATATCATCCCCTGCGCCATTATCACTCCACTGGACTGCTTCTGGGAGGGCAGCAAACTCCTGGGCCCCGAATATCCTGTACATATGCCGTAAGCAATCGATTCGAAGCTAAACTCGGAGCGGTTTTAATTGGCGGAGGAATTATCGCCGGCCAGGACGGCGGTGTCCACGATTAAAATCGCCCCAGGTCGAGGGGATGCGTTGGCGTCGCGAATGACCGAATTTGGTTTGTCGCCGACAGCGGGGGCCAGACCAACAAGCCGGTCCAGTGGACCAACCTGAACCCTTCCGGGATGCTGGAGGAGATGAAGAAGATGTCGTTCGCCTTCCCCTTCAAGACTCTGGAGGATTACATGAAGCGGGCCGGCATAACGAATGGATACCAGAGCAAGCCTTGCCTGGACCCCACCGACCCGGATTGCCCCGAGACCGCTCCCAACAAAAAGTCCCAGCAGGTAGGTCTCCCAGGATTCAGCCTCGACTGGGTTTCGAGGAAGAACCTCTATATTTTCCCTCCTGACGGTCGCCGGAAAATTTACGGCCACGCAGCGACGACTTCGTCTGCTGCAAGTGTCCCGCGATGGGTGGCAGCGGAAGCGCGCGCCTCTTATCCGAAAATAATGCGACTCTCTCGACCGCACCGGTCGCGATTTGCGAACGTGCATGCGACGAGGTCTTGGAAGTTTTGCGCAATCGACGTACTTGGAATTCGTCGTGGAGGGATAAAATTCGGCAGTCGACGAGAGGCGTTTGACGCCGGCAGACTCCTCGGCTTTGCCGAGGCCGACGTTCCCGGACGACGTGTCCGGCGTACGTGCTCGGAGATCGTTGCGCTCGCCGAGAGACATTGTGAAAGTCTCGAAGCGGCCGATGCCGCACGCGAGGACCCCCGCCGGAATGGCAAGTGGTCACTTGAGATTCTCTCAATGAAGAGCCCCTTCCTTCTTCGTCATTCGAGGCGCGGAACCCGCTCTTGCCGGAATCGCCAATCGCGCCGATCGGCACCTTTGCCTCGCGAATTTTACTCCCGAGGCCTCCTCGCTGCTTCGTGGGAATTATCTGCGGGTGAGCTTTCGGTTCCGCGAAATCGACAAATCTTGTATCTCGGTGGAAAGATTCGCCAGGTAATTACGTCCTCGCTGACGAATGCACCTCGTTGCGGAATAAAGTAGAGATTAGCTCGCAGCGAGAGCCGGATGAGCGCAATTGATCGTCGTCGGGTCGCGCCGCAAGCTTCTTCTCGGACTCTGCACGCCGACTCAGCGCGCTGCACTCGTCTCCCCCGGGGGGTGCGGCGGGAAAACGTAAATCAATTAGACGACCATTAGAATCCATTAATCGGGCCTGATCAGCCGTCGCGGATCCCGGTAATGGGCATTCGAGTCGAGTCTCGAGACTCGCGCATACGTGCCGCGCGTTAGAACAAGAGGATTCGCATGACGTGCGTCATTATTGCGCTACGCCGGTGGTCTCGTCGTGAGTATATTACGCACCCGTCGTTTCGCCGGCATTAACATAAGAGCATGCGCGTACATACCCGGTACATATGTGCCCCAGCGTGTGCGCGAGCACGCGCGTTATTGCCGCCAGTCGGTACCACTTCGGCTAAGGACTCTCCAGGAGAATCAGTGGCGCAAGTGTTTGCACGCGAGAAGGCCTGTGTACGAGTGAGTACGAGTACGTACCGGTACACGGGCATTTACTCCGCTACGTGCGCGTACACCCGCGCCACGGGTGGTCCTCGACATTCGCGAGATGTCTCCGGGATATTAAGATCTCGAACACGCAACTGCTAATAGTTACCATTTGTCTGGGAAACGTGGAGGTACTCGGTCGTTCCTTCTCTTCCTTTTCGTCCTCCGAGGTCATGAAGAAATCTCGCGGGCATATGTGGAAAGTTATATAATTTTCGTATTTACGTGTTTTCGTATTTTCGTATTTTCATATTTTCATATTTTCATATTTTCATATTTTCGTATTTTCGCATTTTCGCATTTTCGCATTTTCGCATTTTCGTATTTTCGTATTTTCGTATTTTCGTATTTTCGTATTTTCGTATTTTCATATTTTCATATTTTCATATTTTCGTATTTTCGCATTTTCGCATTTTATTTTCGTATTTTCGTATTTTCGTATTTTCGTATTTTCGTATTTTCGTATTATCGTATTATCGTATTATCGTATTATCGTATTATCGAACTCTGAATGAAAAATTACGCTCGAGATGAAATGAAAACACGGGCACGCGGATAAGAGGGAATTTTATTCCAGCGGGACGTTTCAACGCTTTGTCGATCGCGGGAGATTTTTTAAGAAACTTTTTTAGCGTCAGTACGGTAAGTTCGATTTTTGCGACGGTCGCTTAAGAGAAAAACGGTAAAATGTTTCTTCATTTATGAACAGGTGGTAGCATAGTTGGCAAGATGGTAGGCCCCGGGACGCTGGAGCATAGGTTCGATGTCTACTTCACGTTTTTTTTTTCTTTTCAATCTTTCATACGTATGATATGGAAATTTATATCTACGTAAAAAGAAATGCTGATAATAAGAGATTACCCGTTTTCGATGAAACATTTGAAACACCATTAATTCTATGCCTTTCGGGGAATCGCGAGTAGACGGTACAGCGGATAGCGGAATTCAAGAGGGAATTTTCCGGATTGGCGGACGAGGGGAGGGACGGAGAGCTCCAGAGCCATTAGAGGATAGTGGACCTGGTGCACCTGGTGTACCCAGTACTCGAGACCGGAGCGCCGCTCGCGCCATTTTCCGAGCGTCTCCGATGAAGTTATTAGGCCGCTCGCAGCGTCGACCAGCTGCGCGGCCCTTTTTGCGACCGACCAGGAGAGCAATCTTCCCTCTCGTTCCGCGCGTCGCATTCTTGGCCGATTATCGGGACTCGGTCGTTTAATTGCCGCGGCGACCGGCGTCGATTCCGCCGCCGCCACGAGGGACTCAAAATCCGCGCAGGTGACAATTAAATCGGCATTTTTCCCCGCTCGCGGCCGACAAGAAAATCGCAAGGACTCGGGTCGCGGTCGCCGACGACTCCTAGAAGATCCGATTATTGCGGCTAAGGATTGTCAGAGGTGGCGAGGCGATTTTCTGGCTCTCCGGTGAGAGGAGACGCGTTTACGTCCTTCAATGGGACCGGGTGCATGGGTGCATAAGCCATGGGATAATCTCCCTGGGTGGGCCGCCAGGGCCGCATTCGGCGCAGGGTGCCCAGGGTCGCACTCGTCGCTCGGCCTCGTCGAGTAAAAACCGGAAGCCTCTTCGCCGAGGCCACTTTTTCCCTTTTCTCGCTTCCTCCTTTTCCCCCTTTACTGCGCGCGATTTATGCAAATTCGCGGCGTTTCGTTCAACGGAAAGCGGGGTACTCGAAGACGGAGCGCCGCCTCTTCGTCGCCGACACCGTAGATTTTTTATCGGGCCGCGACCGATACGCTTGGAAAAGATGGATTCTTGAGGTTTGGGGTAGAGCGGTAAAAAGGCGCGATAGCTCTTGGGAGAGGCCGGACCTCCCGGCGAGATTTTACGGGCCCTGGAGAGAGGGTTCAGGATTTCGGTGACCTTTCCTTTCTCTATGGCTCGGGAACCCTTTTCCGTCCTCGTCGAATCGATGCCTCGACTACCTCTCGGAATTCCTAGACCCGAAAGGCACGCGAAGCCCTCTCACCGTGGATTCCTCTCGTTAGATTTCAGAAGTGCCCGCATTTACACCAGGAATTTCTCTCCTTAGATTCCAGATATGCATGTATTTCGAATCCACGCATTTTCACCGGGAATTCCTCTCGTTAGATTCCAGATGTGGGAGCCGAGCTGACCGGAGGGTGTTACGGATTCGCCGCCAAGTACATGCACTGGCCGGAAGAGCTCGTGGTCGGCGGTGCCAAGCACAACAAGACGGGCCACCTAACCAGGGCCGCGGCCCTGCAGACCGTAGTGCAGCTCATGGGCGAGAGAGAGCTGTACGACTTCTGGGCGAACACGTACAAGGTGCACCACATAGACTGGTCCCAGGAGAAGGCATCCGTAGTCCTGGAGACGTGGCAACGGGCTTTTAGCAACCAGGTCAGGAGGCAGCTCAACGGGAACGGGTCCGCTCCGTACAATCTGTACGCTTTCAGCACGACCACCATGAACGACATCCTCGGGAAGTACAGCGAGGTCTCGCTAATGAAGATCGCCATTGGGTGCGCGTTGATGGTAAGGGCGAACGTCCGTCTATTAGGGATTCCGGTTCCTTGGGTTTGGCATCGACTGGAAGTCTCACTTTTTAACGTTTCAGCTGCTGTACGCGGGCATAGCTCTGCTCAGATGGAAGGACCCCGTGCGTTCTCAATCCGGCGTGGGAATAGCCGGAGTGATGTTGGTGTGCGCAACCGTGGCTGCCGGGCTGGGATTCTGCGCGCTGTTGGGGATCCCCTTCAACGCCGCGACGACTCAGATCGTACCGTTCCTGGCGCTGGGATTGGGGGTGCACGATATGTTCCTCTTGACCCACACCTACGCCGAGTTGTCCGTGAACGAGGTGCCGAGTTGTGAGCAGACCGGCGTGGTCCTGAAGCGAACGGGTCTCTCGGTTCTTCTAACGGGACTCAGTAACGTGTCGGCCTTCTTCGCGGCGGCGATAATCCCGATCCCGGCGCTCAGGGTCTTTTCCCTCCAGGCCGGGATCCTGATTCTCTTTAACCTGGCGGCGATGCTGCTGGTCTTCCCCGCGATGGTCAGCTTGGACCTGAGGAGACGCAGGTCGGGTCGCTCGGATGTTTTCTGCTGCTGCCTCCCAGCGGTGACCGGCAACAAGACCCACTGTGGGCGGAGGAGCAACGGCACGGCCAAGCACACGGTCACCAGGGCGATTCCGCCCGAAAGGAGAGAGACTTGTACGCAGATATTGACTCCTCAGAACCATCGAAACGAGCCGTGGATCGGAGGCAACGCGATCGACGTCGAGTCCGAGAAACCGTGCACCGAGGAGGACACTCTGACCGGATGCAGCCAGGACGATTGTCTCAGTTTCTCCCTCACTCAGCTGGCGGCTAGACATTATGCTCCCTTCGTGACCAGACCGGCTACCAAGGTCTTCGGCATGATGCTACTTGCCGGGGTCCTGGGTGGGAGCATCTGGCTCGCTATGAAGGTGGACGACGGCTTGGAGCTGACGGATCTGGTGCCCCAGAACTCCGACGAACACGCCTTCTTGGCCGCTCAGGCCAAACACTTCGGCTTCTACAACATGTTCGCCGTGACCGGCAGGGATTTCGAGTACCCCAACAACCAGAGACTCTTGTATGAGTATCACGACGCTTTCATGAGAGTCAAGAACGTTATTAAGAACGACGACGGAGGGCTTCCAGAGTTCTGGCTGGGTCTCTTCAGGGACTGGCTCAAAGGCCTCCAGGGCGCCTTCGACAGGGACTACCGAAACGGGTGCATCACCCAGGAACGGTGGTTCAGGAACGCCAGCGACGAGGCCATCCTTGCGTACAAGCTGCTCGTGCAAACCGGACACGTGGACAACCCCATAGACAAGACTCTGGTCACTCAGGTGAGACTGGTCGACGCAGAGGGCATCATCAATCCCAAGGCCTTCTACAATTATCTCAGCGCCTGGGCGTCCAACGACGCCCTCGCCTATGGAGCCTGCCAGGCCAACTTGCGACCGGAACCTAGACAGTGGTTCTACACCAACGATCACGAGCTCAAGATCCCGAAGAGCATGCCTCTCACCTACGCGCAGATGCCGTTCTATCTGCACAGGCTGACGGAGACCAGGGACATTACCGAGCTGATCGGTAGCGTCCGGAACCTCTGCAGGAAGTTCGAGGAACGCGGCCTGCCGAACTTCCCCTCGGGCATTCCTTTTCTCTTCTGGGAGCAGTACATGGACCTGAGGAGCTGTCTCGGCATTGCCCTCTTGGCTGCCCTGGGAGCCAGCGTGGCCGTGGTCGGAATATTATTGTTAAACCTTTGGGCAGCTTTGTTGGTCGGCACTGCGCTAGCTGGAGTCGTTCTCCAATTATTGGGTATCATGGGACTCTGCGGTATCAGGCTCAGCGCGGTACCAGCTGTTCTGCTGGTAGTGAGCGTTGGAATTGCCGTGCACTTCACCGTCCACATCTGTTTGGTTAGTACGAGATTAATTGCCTGTCGTATTTACTTTGAAATATAGACATTGATAGAAATTTCACGCTCGATTTTCATATCCCATTTCAGAGCTTCGTAACGAGCATCGGAAGCAGAGATCGGCGGATCCGACTGGCCTTGGAGCACATGTACGCCCCCGTGATCCATGGGGCCTTGACAACCTTGCTGGCCGTGGTGATGTTAGCCTTCTCCGAGTTCGAATTCATCGTCCGCTACTTCTTCCTGGTCCTCCTCTGTCTGATTGGTGTCGGCCTGGTAAACGGCCTCTTCTTCTTTCCGATTCTGCTTTCGTTGATCGGTCCCTCGCCCGAGGTGATCCCGAATGAGCATCCAGATCGGATATCCACCCCGACGCCACCGGCTTCTCCCATCGTCAGGAGGTCCAAGCCTCCTGCTCCGCCCAGAAGGTCTCACAAAATCGAGAGCGCCAGATTGCACGCCGAACCGTCCTTGACGACCATCACGGAGGAGCCCAATTCCTGGCACAGCACTCAGGAGTCCTGCATCATCGTCCAGCCAGAAGTGAAGGTGGAGACAACCTCGACTTGCGGAAACCAGGTGCGTCGGCGTGCACTTTTCCCTCGAGGAAGAACGCTCTGTCTTGAATCTTACGCCCTCCCGTTCGGAGCCTGAAAAATTAACATTGCAACCATGGTCCCTTTGGAACGGCTCTCGGCGAGGTGTCCCTTAATGCTAGTTTGACGATAGGCTGATGGAGATCCCGCAGCATGACTAACGGTGTGATCTTTTGTCCCGACTAACAGAACTGTAGCGGATCGGACTCGAGTGGGTCTAGTCGGACATCGCCGGTACCGTCCGCATCGCACATCACCACTAAGGTCACTGCCACCGCTAATATTAAGGTCGAGGTCCACACTCCGCTCACCAGTAAGTATCGAACAGTCCAGGCTAGTTGACTTAGAAAGACTTTGAACCGAAATTGGAAAAACCTATCGAAGAGCGAAAACAAAACGGCACCTTTCTTGAGTGATCTTTAAGGTGATGTAACAGTGGCATCTGGGTCTCATTTATGAAACTTTTCTCTCAAACCGGCTGTACCGAATCATTTGAAATTTTATCTCATGCACATGAAAGCCCTAAGGAAGGTCTTGGCACTCATGAAATTTCATTCAAACATTTTTTTGTACAAAAAATCTAATTTCATGGGTGTCAAGACCTTCCTTAGGGTCTCCACATCCACGAGGTAAAATTTCATATGATTCGGTATACCCAATAAGGACAAGTTTCATAAATGATTGACCCCTGCCGCTTCGCGTCACCGTAAGCGTTCGCTCTCTGCGGATCTTGGAAGAGTGTTGACCGGTGTACGGAGGAAACGTAATAATGAAAATCCGTGTGTCCTTATTGTAGGTGGAGTGGATCGTGGTGAGAAGTGCCGGCACTCCAGCTCGAGCAACAGGAGGAGTTCGCGCTGCAGTACGAGCGTTAACACGGGGGAGTCTTCCGGGTCCAGTTCTGAGCCGGATTCTGACTCGACCTCTAACTCAACCAACAAGCACTAACGGCGAGTACCGGGACGACCGGCAGCTGCTGCTCAAGTACCACGCTAAGCGGGAACCCACAGAAGGCTGACTAGGCTAGGCTATTTCGCGAGTCCTTTTAGGCGACTCGATCGTTTCGTTACGTCGCGCGAACCCCTTAAGCCCTTGACAAAAAAAAAAAGATACGCTGAAGTATTACGAGACAGTGGCGTCCCCATAGAGGTAGTTGTAGACGCCAGGTATCGCGTGTGAACGATTCCGCGCGAACGCGGTTTTCCGTCCGGCCCTCGGCAAAATGGTTCAATGTCCTTGAAGGGACGAGACCCGCACAGGGAACCGGAGTTGGAACCTAATTTTTAGACGTGTCCTATGCTCGGTATAACGATTCCTTTTTTATAATGTTTACAACGCGACCCATGTTGCCTGGGAGGGCATTTTTTAACGTGTACCAATTGACAAAAAGTAATCGCCCGATTCGTAATGGCGGGCGGTGACGCGCGTCCGGCAGAAACTCGTTGGTTCTGCTTTTTTATACTCGTGTGGCTGTATTATTTTGACCGGTGTTCAAAAACGGCAATTTTTTAGTATTGAACGTATACTGGCACGGTGTGTCACCGATTGATATTTAATTGAATTAAATGATAACTCGTCCAAGTATTAATAACTTTAATACAGCACGTTTCCGATGGCGGTCGATCTCGAAAGGTGCTCCATTTCGACCTTGTACGATTTCTCTTTAAAATGACTGCCAGCTTCTGAGACACAGCGATTCTTATAGCGAAGCATGGGCAAATGGATTTAAAGGATCTGGGTAGGCATTTCAGACGATAAGAGACGCGCTGAAAGATGATTCGTTTTCTACTGGAGCCACCATTTTACACATTTGAATGACTCCATGATGTAAAAAAAAGTAGAATACATTAAATGTATGTCAAAAGCATTGAGATAATTCTATTTGTTGTCTTTGGAGATCTCTTGTTAATTGTATATAAACACGTGTCCTTGGAAAGGTGCAAAACTAGTTCAATTTGTTACCAATGGCAGTATCAGCTACGTACCTATTCGAAGACTATTAATGCATTTTTATGAGAGCGTAGAAGGGAAGAAAAAGAAGAGACGAAGTGCCTCAAAGCAAGGCCAAGTTTCCTAAGGAAAGCAATAAGTCGCGACCAGGGTATTTGTTTAATTTATTGACGAGCAGGATGACTGTTTACGAAACAGAGAAGGGAATACAAAATAAGCGGCCGATTGTAAAATTGGCATGATATTACAATGTTTTCTTTTTTTAATTTTACTTAAAAATAAGTAAGGATTCGAGTAATCTCCAGTGCTAGTATTCGTTCAGTTTTAATGTTGGATAATGGAGAAGCTTTTGTCAATAGAGAGGCTGGCTCGACGACAGTATGTTACCTACAATAAATCATTATTTGCATATTATTGCGACGATTGTGTTGTTTTAAAAGAACTGTATCATTGCCGTGCCATCGAACCTACACTTGCTGCAAAAGTCAAAGGTAGATTGGCAAAGCGATGTTCATTTTTACAGTTTATTGGGAAGTATGAAATTTAAATTCCTATTTATAGTTATGCATTAACGCTTGTATGGTGCATTGATGCAGAGTGAATGTGGTTCGAGTGAAATGAGTCTCAAATCTATTTATTATTTATTTTACTAGCCACAACTTGATAATTCAAGTATTTAATAGGGAAAGACTTTGTACAATGTGCGTTCAAAGCATGGTGACTTGTAAAAATACTCAACTATTTATGTCGCCGTATATATANGACTACGAATAGTCGTCAAATGATTTTATCTATGAATTCGTAGAATCGTGTGTACAATGAAAGAAGTATTTCTGCGCAAAGTCATTTTGTATACAATCCTAGTTGTAAGGATGGTATTTAATTGGAGAGATATCCTGCGATGATTTCAAATCTCTCTCGTCTCTGTATAAAGTGAGGTTTGTTTAACTTAAGAAGGAAATAGTCAATATACCTCCATTACCGCGTTAAGTTACACCATGACTTAATATTTTAATAACTCCACTATATGAACTAATTATTTTTTATCAATTGAATATACGAACGTTTACTTGTGTACAATGTATATCGCATTTTGTACATAAATATAATGATATGATAATGAGTGTGTTCTACGACTGATAAATACTTTCCTACCCTTTGCCTATTAAAAATTACTGCGTCTCATTCGGGAATTACATTTTTCAGTCCGGAACGAAAATAAACACCGAGAATTGTCTGGGAGATTTAGATCAATTTTGATGCACGCGAAATTTATTCTATTTTTATCTCGTTGATCTCTGAATTCAGTTTCAACGTGAAGATAAATATCGCTATTACCGGCGGAACTAATTATGGCGGGAACCACTGAAATATAGTAAACTGAAATGTATATACCAGAGATGAGTTGGGAGATTGCTCACGGGCAGGGTCGTGCGATCGAATCCTGTGCTGCCCTCTGGTTTCGTACGTTAACTTTCATCGTTTTTTGCCCCCAAGGGCGGGCAACGAATTTCTGATAGGGCCTCGCGCACTCACGATGGAGGTACCATCTACCAGTCGCCGTTGGCGGCTCACGTACTCGTGAGCCGCCTACGGTAATACCATGCGGCAGTTGACGGTGTGGCTTACCTACGCTTACCGACACTGCTCGCTTTTGATGGTAAGGGAAGAACACTAGTGACACTCCATTTGACTTTATCTACTTATCTACTACTATTAAGTACATTGTTCCCGGAAGCCGACGTGATGCGGAGCTTTGGGGCATGCGTCGGTATCGCGTACGGAACTCTCGTGCAGCGAACCTGTTGAGTGCGATAGCTCCTAGAAATCTTCGCGCGTCCCAACCAGCCAAGCGCCAAGCTACGGGTCGAGACGTTGAGTATGTGTGCATTCGGCGCTATACTCGACAAGTATGCGTGAGACTCGAAAACTGCGAAAAATCCTTCCGAGGCTTACCTAACTGCGGATAAAAGCCGAGTCATGTCGCGGATGATTTTCACATTTCCCTACTAGCGTTATCGAGCGTTTTTTTAGGCATTTCTAGAGCGTTTATGAACGTCGAAGAACGTTTTCGAGCGTTATCGACCGTTATCGAGCGCTTTTCGAGCGTTTTCGAGCGTTTCTCGATCAGTTTCAGAGCGGTTTCGACCACTTTCGAGCGTTTTAAGAACGTTTTTGAGCGTTACCGAGCGTTTTTCAAACGTTTTCAAGTGCTATTCAAGTGTTTCCGAGCCTTAACGAAGGCAGTAAAGTGCTGTTGCGTGTTGTTAAGTGCAGTAGAGTGCCGGAGAATGCCGGAGAGGTGCCGAAGGGTGCTGGAGAGTGCCGGAGAGTGCCGGCTAGTTGCCGCAGAGTGCCGGAGAGTGCCGCAGAGTGCCGTAGGATGCTGGAAAGTGCCGGAGAGTGCCGGAGAGTTCAGCAGAGTGCAGCAGAGTGCCGCAGAGTGCCGGAAAGTTGCCGGAGAGTGCCGTAGAGTGTGGCAGAGTGCCGGAGAGTGCCGGAGAGTGCCGTAGAGTGCTGGAGATTGCCGGAGAGTGCCGGAGAGTTGCCGGAGAGTGCCGGAAAGTGCCGGAGAGTCCCGGAAAGTTGCCGGAGATAGCCGGAGTGTTGCCACAGAGTGCCGTAGAATGCTGGAAAGTGTCGTAAAGTGTCGGAGAGTGCCGGAGAGTTGCTGGAGAATGCCGCAGAGTGCCGGAGAGTTGTCGGAGAGTGCCGGAGAGTGCCGGAGAATGCCGCAGAGTACTGGAGAGTGCCGCAGAGTGCCGTAAGGTGCTGGAAAGTGCCGGAGAGTGCCGGAGAGTGCCGGAGAGTGCCGGAGAGTGCCGGAGAGTTGCTGGAGAGTGCCGCAGAGTGCCGGAGAGTTCCACAGAGTGCCGGAGAGGGCCGCAGAGTGCCGGAGAGGGCCGCAGAGTGCCGGAGAGTTGCCGCAGAGTGCCGGAGAGTCCCGGAGAGTGACGGAGAGTGCCGGAGAGTGCCGGAGAGTTGCCCGAGAGTGCCGGAGAGTGCCGGAGAGTGCCGGAGAGTCCCGGAAAGTTGCCGGAGATAGCCGGAGTGTTGCCGCAGAGTGCCGTAGAGTGCTGGAAAGTGTCGTAGAGTGCCGGAGAGTGCCGCAGAGTTGCTGTGGAGTGCCGGAGAGTGCTGGGGAGTGCCGGAGAGTTGCCGGGGAGTTGTCGGAGAGCGCCGCAGACTGTCGCAGAGTGCCGGAGAGTGCCCGAGAGTTGCCAGAGAGTTGCCGGAGAGTGCCGTAGAGTGCCCCAGAGTGCTGGAGAGCGCCTGAGAGGTACCGGAACGTGCCGTAGAGTGCCGTAGAGTCCCATAGTGTGGTGTAAAGTGTCCTAGAGTGCATTAGTGTGCCGTAGAATGCCGTAGAGTGCCGTAGAGTGTCCTGGACTGCCGTAGAGTGCCCTGGACTGCCGTAGAGTGCCGTAGAGTGCCCGACTGTGCCGTAGAGTGCTGTAGAGTGCCGTAGAGTGCCCTAGAGTGCCGTAGGGGGCCGTAGAATACCGTAGGGTGCCACAGAATGCCGTGGAGTGCATTATTATGCATTAGAGTGTATTAGAGTGCTGTAGTACACTAATTAGAGTGCATTAATTACCACTATAATGAGAGTACCTTTGTTAGAGGGCGGTTATAAGTACCTACCTGCACTAACCTAACCTGACCTACCTGACCTAACCTAACCTGACCTACCTGACCTAACCTAACCTGACCTACCTGACCTAACCTACCTGACCTACCTAACCTAACCTAACCTAACCTAACCTAACCTAACCTAACCTAACCTAACCTAACCTAACCTAACCTAACCTAACCTAACCTGACCTACCTGACCTACCTGACCTACTTGACCTACCTGACCTACCTGACCTACCTGACCTACCTGACCTACCAGACCTCACCTAACCTGACCTACCTGACCTAACCTAACCTGACCTACCTGACGTAACCTAACCTGACCTACCTGACCTAACCTAACCTGACCTACCTGACCTAACCTAACCTGACCTACCGGACCTAACCTAACCTAACAAATGCACTCTGCGGCACTCTGCGGCACTCTGCGGCAACACTCCAGCATTCTGCGGAAACTCTCCGGCACTCTCCGGCAACTTTCCGGCACTCTCCGACGCTCTCCCGCACTCTGCGACATCTGTCTGGCACTCTCCGGCAACTCTCCGGCACTCTCGGGCACTCTGTGGCCTTCTGCGGCAACTCTCCGGCATTCTCCGGGACTCTGCGGCCCTCTGCGGCACTCTACGGAAACTCTCCGGCACTCTCCGGCAACTTTCCGGCACCGTCCGGAACTCTCCAGCTCTCTGCGGTACTCTGCGGCACTGTACGGCAACTCTCCGGCATTCTCCGGGACTCTCCGGCAACCGTCCGGCACTCTCCGACACCCTGCGGCCCTCTGCGGAAACTCTCCGGCGCTCTCCGGCAACTTTCCGGCACCGTCCGGCACTCGCCAGCAACTTTCCGGCACTCTCCGGCGCCCTCCCGCACACTGCGGTACTCTGCGGCAACTCTCTGGAACTCTTTGGCAACTCTCCGGTACTCTCCGGCAACTCTCTGGCACTATGCGGCACTGTGCGGCACTCTGCGGCACTCTGCGGCACTCTACGGAAACTCTCCTGCTCTCTCCGGCAACATTCCGGCACCGTCCGGCACTCTCCAGCAACTCTCCGGCACTCTCCGGCGCTCTTCCGCACTCTGCGGTACTCTGCGGCACTCTCCGGCAACTCTCTGGAACTCTCTGGCAACTCTCCGGTACTCTCCGGCAACTTTCCGGCACTCTCCGGCACTCTCCAGCACTCTGCGGCACTCTGCGGCAACTCTCTGGAACTCTCTGGAACTCTCTGGCAACTCTCCGGTACTCTCCGGCAATTCTCCGTCACTCTGCGGCACTCTCCGGCACTCTCCGGCACTCGCCGGCACTCTGCGGCCCTCTGCGGCCCTCTGCAGCACTCTACGGAAACTCTCCGGCTCTCTCCGGCAACTTTCCGGCAACGTCCGGCACTCTCCAGTAACTCTCCGGCACTCTCCGGCGTCTCCCGCAATCTGCGGCATCTCTCTGGCACACTCGGCAACTCTCTGGCAATCTCGGGCACTCTGCGGCCCTCTGCGGAACTCTGCGGCACCCACCGGCACTCTGCGGAAACTCTCTGGCACTCTCCAGCAATTTTCCGGCACCGTCCGGCACTCTCCAGCACTCTGCGGTACTCTCCGGCACTCTGCGGCAACTATCCGGCATTCTGCGGCACTATCCGGCACTCTCCGGCACTCTGCGGCAACTCTCCAGCACTCTCCGGTGCCTCTACGTCCCTATCCGACACCCTCCAGCAATTCTACGGCACTCTCCGGCACTCTCCGGCACTCTCTGGCAACTCTCCGGCACTCTCCGGCACTCTCCGGCATTCTCCAGCAATTCTCCGGCACTCTGCGGCACTATCCGGCACTCTCCAGCTCTCTGCGGTACTCTGCGGCACTGTGCAGCAACTCTCCGGCATTCTCCGGGACTCTCCGATAACTCTCCGGCACTCTCCGGCATTCTGCGGCACTCTGCGGAAACTCTCCAGCACTCTGCGGCACTCTACGGAAACTCTCCGTCTCTCTCCGGCAACTTTCCGGCACCGTCCGGCACTCTCCAGCAACTGTCCGGCACTCTCCGGCGCTCTGCGGCACTCTGCGGCACTCTCCGGCACTCTCCGGCACTCTCCGGCTCTCTGCGGCAACTCTCCGGCACTCTCCGGCACTCCGGCACTCTCCGGCACTCTCCGGCACTCTCCGGCAACTCTGCGGCACTCTCCGGCACTCTCCGGCACTCTCCGGCTCTCTGCGGCAACTCTCCGGCACTCTCCGGCATTCTGCGGCAACTCTGCGGCACTCTCCGGCACTCTGCGGCAACTATCCGGCATTCTCCGGGACTCTCCGGCAAATCTCCGGCACTCTCCGGCACTCTGCGGAAACTCTCCGACACTCTCCGGCAACTCTCCGACAATCTTCGGCACTCTGCAGCAAATCTCCGGCAACTCTCCGGCCACTCTACGGTGCTCCGGCACTCTCCGGCAACTCTCTGACACTCTTCGGCACTCTGCGGCAATTCTCCGGCACTCCCCGACACTATGCGACAACTGTCCGGCACCCTCCTGTACTCTCCGGCACTCTCCGGCACTCTGCCACACTCTACGGCACTCTCCGGCACTCTCCGGCACTCTCCGGCACCCTCCGGCACTCTCCGACACTCTCCGGCACTCTGCGGCAACTCTCCGGCACTCTCCGGCACTCTGCGGCACTGTGCGGCACTCTCCGGCACTCTCCGGCACTCTCCGGCACTCTCCGGCAACTCTCCGGCACTCTCCGGCACTCTGCGGCAACTCTGCGGCACTCTCCGGCACTCTCCGGCACTCTCCGACACTCTCCGGCAACTCTCCGACACTCTCCAGCACACTTCGGCACCTCTCCGGCATTCTCCGGCACTCTATTGCACTTAACAACACGCAACAGCACTTTACTGCCTTCGTTAAGGCTCGGAAACACTTGAATAGCACTTGAAAACGGTTGAAAAACGCTCGATGACGCTCGACAACGTTCGAAAACATTCTAAAAACACTCGAAAACGTTTGAAAAACGCTCGGTAACGCTCAAAAACGTTCTTAAAACGCTCGAAAGTGGTCGAAACCGCTCTGAAACTGATCGAGAAACGCTCGAAAACGCTCGATAACGGTCGATAACGCTCGAAAACGTTCTTCGACGTTCATAAACGCTCTAGAAATGCCTAAAAAACGCTCGATAACGCTAGTAGGGAAATGTGAAAATCATCCGCGACATGGCTCGGCTTATATCCGCAGTTAGGTAAGCCTCGGAAGGATTTTTCGCAGTTTTCGAGTCTCACGCATACTTGTCGAGTATAGCGCCGAATGCACACATACTCAACGTCTCGACCCGTAGCTTGGCGCTTGGCTGGTCGGACGCGCGAACATTTCTAGTCGCTGTCGCACTCACACAGATTCGCTGCACGAGAGTTCCGTACGCGACACCGACGCATGCCCCAAAGCTCCGCATCACGTCGACTTCCAGGTAACAATGTACTTAATAGTAGTAGATAAGTAGATAAAGTCAAATGGAGCGTCACGAGTGCTCTTCCCTTACCATCAAAAGCGAGCAGTGTCGGTAAGCGTAGGTAAGCCACCACCGTCAACTGCCGCATGGTATTGCCAGAGATGGTATTACCATCACGAGTACGTGAGCCGCCAATGGCGACTGGTAGATGGTACCGCCATCTCGAGTGCGCGAGCTCCTATCAGAAATTCGTTGCGCCGCCCTTTGGGGCAAAAAACTGAGAAAGTTAACGTACGATACCAGAGGGCAGCACAGGATGCGATTGCACGATCCTACCCGTAAGCAATCTCCCAACTCATCTCTGTAAACAATCTCCCAACTCACCTCTGATACATATATATGCCATGTAGCGCGGCGTTCGTTTCAGTTTACTGCAGGGTGGCGACACTCCTTATGTGAGAGGTGTAACGTTGAAGTTAGTTCACTTACTCCAAGCAAAGACTGCACTGGTGTCGTGACTTTTCAGTCTAATAGAAAGAGAAGAACAGAGAAAAAATTGTCTAACCAATAGCAAGAGACTCCAGGAGGCGCAGCGTAGATGCGCATAAAAATAGTCGGGACAACTGAACCAAAATGAACCTAACCTCGATTAGTGGCAATATTTTCACAAATTTCGATTACCTCGAGTATTAAATTGCGAACGTGAGTTTGTGAGTAAAAGTGTAAATCAAGAACAGTTTGTAGTTTCTTCCTATAATAATTGTAATAATTAAATGGATTAAATGCGATCTATAGATGTGATTTAATCCATCCACATGAAAGTAATCATAACAAAAATTAAATTTGTATAGAATTTGTATGTTTATACATTCATAATAATTAATATTTTTATCTTAATAAATATGTTACTTTTTGACTAATGTTTAATGTAATTATTTCAGTTCTTACAGTGATTTAAAACAGGCGTTGCGCTACTGACACTTTTGTTACTTCTTTTATGTTTAATATACTGTTTTCTTACATTTGTGTGTCAGTCTAAGCAACGTCTGTTTTGATCATTGTAAGTACTTTTTAAATCCCGAAAATATCCCTTCCTTTAATAAATGGATTTGAATAGCCCGCCAAATATTTTAGTTCGCGAAGAGGGTTTACACCAACCGAAGATGGCAGTAGTGCATAAAGCGTTTCGCCCCAATACATGGCAGTGTCGGCCCCCTGGTTTACTGTATATTTCAGTGGTGGCGGGAACGATTATATATTGAATAAGCGATTCTAACGTCAGCAAACGGTTGGTCATGTACTACGGTTGTTAATGGGCTTATCAAAACTAAATCTTTAACAAAAGTGCTAATCCGTACAAGCATAAATTATCAACACAAAATAATCATGGATAATGCATACGATCGTTTGATTATTTTAATAGACATGGATTGTTTCTTTTGTCAAGTAGAAACGAAACTTGCTCCAGAACTTAAAGGGAAACCCGTTGCTGTCATTCAGTACAACCAGTGGCAATTAGGAGGGTAACTATTTCTATGTTATTACCGTTGCTATAATTATCAAAAGCATGTTAAAAATTAGAAGAGCATTTCATTTAAACATCCTGTGTCAACTTTTAGAATAATAGCTGTTAATTATGAAGCAAGAGAGTTCGGAGTGACTAGGTTTATGCGAGGAGATGAAGCTAAGGAAAAATGTCCTGAGTTAATCCTAGCCAGTGTGCCAGCGACGCGTGGAAAATCGAATACATCTAGGTAGCATTCAAAGTCAAGTATTCTTATTGGTGTATTACATTGAAATTTTCTTGGTTTGTCAATTGTATCCTATTTGTATACTGCAGGTACAGAGTTGCAGGTCGAGAGGTTATAGATGTATTAAAAAAGCACTGTAATATTATAGAACGAGCTAGTGTTGACGAGGCTTACCTGGATATCACTGACATGGTTGATCAACAAATGTCTTCAAAATCATTTCCTCCTGAAGAATTAATGAAATCTCTCTCACACACATATGTTGTAGGGTATTCAGAAGTTGGACAGAACAATGAAGGTGTGATGTTAAGTCATAACTCTTTATAACTTTCTATGATATATTAAAAGTGTAATTAATTTCAGAACAAAGAAGTAAAGGTACAGAGGAGTGGATAAATTCATTGACTGATGAGCTGGAGAATATGCAGTCAAAACGACTTGCTGTGGCTGGTGCAATAACAGAATCATTGAGACAAAGTATTTTTAACCAAACTGGATACCAGTGCTCTGCTGGTGTATCATATAATAAGGTACTATATGATAATGTTCTGCAATTAACAATGTGAAGAAAAAAAAACTTGAAATCGTGCTAGATTTTAAACTATTTGAACCTGCAGATTTTGGCCAAATTAGCTTGTGGCTTGCACAAACCCAATCGGCAGACTATTTTACCTCTTACTGCAGTTCCTTCCTTGTTTGCCACACTGCCTGTGAAGAAAGTTCGTAATTTGGGTGGCAAATTCGGAGATGCAGTGGTTGAATCTCTTGAATGTAATGTCATGGCCGATGTATTACGTTACTCTTTACAAGATCTTCAAAAACGTTTCGATGAAAAAACTGGGTATGTAGTTATCAAATTAACGCGATCCATAGCATATTTTTTAAATTAATTTAATCTTACTTTTAATAAAAATGTAGATTGTGGCTGTATAATATCGCTCGCGGTATTGACTATGAACCAGTCATTACAAGATTAGTGTCTAAATCGATTGGAGTATGTAAAAAATTCCCAGCTAAGCAAGCTCTTACCAATTTGGAAATGGTGAGTGTATAAGTAAACAAATAAGTTTATGAAGATAAACGGTAATCAAATGATATTCCTATTTTTAGCTGAAGCATTGGGTCGGAGAGCTCTCGGCAGAAGTTTGCGATCGACTGGAGCAAGACCTAGAAGAAAACGAACGGCGTGCCACGTTATTGACTGTTAGTTACCAATACTACAAGGACCGAACAACGGTTTCGCAATCTCGTTCTGCTCGTTTACGCTCCTATAATGCGGATAATTTAGCTAAACAAGTAGTAGATTTGATAACTAAATCGGTTCAACATCCAATTTCCTGCTTAGGTATTTCAACAGGAAAATTTGTGCCTGCAAGGGGTAGTGGAAGTTTCAAAAATTTTTTCACATCGAACAATGAAACTTTCGTAAAAAAGTCTGATTATTCTAAAACAACCAATTCAACGACTGATTTAAATTCTTCATTAGATAATGCTACCAATGATAGTTGTCAAAAAAATGTAATCAACGCTAATTCAGAGGAAATGGGGAAAGATATATGCAACATGGAAAAACCGTTATTTCATAAGAATAATAGTATTGAGGAAAATGTTTTTAATGTAACAAAATCAACCGAGGATACTAAAACTGCACCTAAGAAAAACTTAAAAAAAGCCTTCACTAGTCATAACTGTAAAGAATCGTTTTTTATGAATATTTTAAGTGATAACAATGATAATAACCCCCTTACTTCAAAAGAGAATTTAAAGGAGCAAAGGAGTGATTCAGAAATTGAAACTGATGGAAATTCAACTGAATCTATGAAAGAAGGTATAGTGAGTGAATTGAACAATGATTCGGATAAATTAATAAGTATATATGAAATATTTCCGGATCTAACCAATATCGATCATAGTATCGTTTCTTTATTGCCTATTGAATTACAAAATGAAGTAAATGAAATATTAAGAAAGAATATGCAAGAATCCAGTACGAATAAAATTTCAAAAGCAACAGGAGAAATCTTAGCAACAACAAGTAATGTTAACACAAGTGCTTCTAATACTTTAAAGACTTCCATTTCTGAATGTAATGGAAGCAGTACATTAAGTAACTATTTTATAAAACATACAGCAACTAATGATACAACTAAATCAATTGACAAAACATGTATTGAAAGAAGTGATCTTTCTAATATTGTTGTAAATAACCATCAGGATAAGCAACTCGAAAGATGCAAGGAATGTAATCAAATGATACCTATTGAAGGGTTTAATGAACATCAAGATTTTCATATCGCACAAATTTTAGACGCAACATTAAATAAACACGAGGCAATAGTTATAGCACGAGAAAAAGTAAATACGAAGAAAGGCAAGGAAGTTAAAAAATCTGGAAGAAAGAGACCATCTGAAGATTCTAAGGAGAGTAATGCAAAGTGGCGAAATATTGAATATTTCTTGAAAAAGCCAAGTTAACAGAAAAGTAACATTAAAGTTAAACAAATGAAGGAAAAAAAGTATCTGAATATAGCTAAATGTGTACGTATGTAACGATCGCGTGCGCAATTCATTTATTGGAAATTATTTATTAGTAACAAACGACTGTCTTGGCACTACGTCTAACCATACCAAATTTTCTCCAAATATATAAAAAAATCAAAAATTAATTCTTTTTATGTAAATAAATCATTGTTGACTGAACGACGCTTCTTAGATTCCTGCTAATATCCGAAAATGCCATCTGAAAAGGAGAGTGAAGATTCAAAACAGAAAAAAAATGGCAAGGATAAAACCAAAAAGCCAAATAAATTTCAGCAAAAATGTAGAGTGTAAGTTGAATTCAATTAGCTTCTTTCAGAATTCAATATGATTTATTTCGGTAATTTTAGTCAGTGCGTACATTATCATTTATCTTATTTTTATAGACCTATAGTAACAGGATCTTCCATGGGTCAAAGATCGTTGCCACCTACCGTGTGCTGTCCACCTGGAGGTTGTCAAGTAACAGGATGCCTTCGTGGTCCCAAATGCTGATTCTAATTCATTTTATGATTGACAATGAAACGAAATATTAATTTTTTAAAGAATATATGATAATAAAATATTAAAAAGCGAGAGATGCACAAGTAATAAAAATCGATATTAGCGCCATTTATGAGAGCTTATATTATGTGTGCCCTCTGTTGTGTTTTCAACTTACTATATTTAGGACCACAGCGTCTCCCTTCTGCACTTCAGCCTGCATTCATGATTTCAACCACTGGTTGTCTTCACAGTAACCTCATTGGTTGAACGCCTTTTACTAACTTCCCTTTGCACGGCGTGTCGCTCAAAATGCTGAAGGTATAATTTAAGGACTATATTTACATGAAGCTTTGCTAATCAGATAACCTACGATAGTAAAATTGTTTCATCTTCCTTCCAGAAACAAAAGGAACCCATCCACTCCGTTCAAGTCTTCGGACGCAAGGTAAGAGAGTGATTTGGAGATAGTTTGAGGTTATGGCTGACAAGCATGCTTCATTTTGGCAGTGGTAATTGCTCGCCGTGCGACGTAACCATTTCGACTTTTGCAAATATTTAATATTTCGAATTATTTTGAGGGCATATGTAAAGTAAGCTGTATTTCAGAAAACCGCAACCGCCGTTGCGTATTGCAGGAGAGGTCGAGGTACCCTCCGCGTTAATGGACGTCCCTTAGAACTGGTGGAACCCCGCGTACTGCAGTATAAACTACAGGAACCAATTCTACTTCTCGGCAAAGTGAGTTTCTACGATTACACAGTAACAAAGTATAATAATTTCTGCAAATCTGGTAACTTAATGCATTTGCTTTTTTGTTTTACAGGAGAAATTTGCAGGCGTTGACATCAGAGTCCGGGTAAACGGTGGAGGACACGTAGCCCAAATTTATGCTATCCGGCAAGCTATTTCCAAGGCTCTTGTAGCATATTACCAGAAATGTAAGTCACTTTTGTGAGTAGCGTATTACATCTAAACGATTACAAGCCCTACTATAAAATTACATGTTTAATAATAGATGTCGACGAAGCCAGCAAGAAGGAGGTGAAAGACATCCTTATTCAGTACGATCGAACTCTGCTGGTCGCAGACCCGAGGCGATGCGAACCCAAGAAATTCGGTGGACCGGGAGCGAGAGCGCGTTACCAGAAATCTTACCGTTAATTTCATCGTGTATTCAATGTTTCGTATTCCGGGTTTTGAATAAATGATTCCGAAAATCTCATGATTGAATGTCTAAACCCATATAAAAATCAATGTTGAGCCCACCGAGTTACCGGTATTACATTGACACACAGTTCGATTAGATATGTTGCAGAAACGTACTTTGCTTACGAATTATCCCGTTCACCGGGAGATGGCTCCAGGGTGCTCTACGCGCCACTATTTAAACCCGACGTCAGTCGCCACGCTTCGTAGTCGGTCGAGTGCGCTCGGCGGCGCTCGAGGTCGGTTGCCAGGCAACGGAGGGTGACGCAGCGTGGTGGCGGGATGGACGGCGGCCCCCCAAAGTCGAATTAATACACGCCACGGCCGTCCAAGAATATCTTCTCGGGTCGGCGGAGTCCCGGGGTAGTCGGGTGACGGTCGGTCGGCTGCCAACAACCAGGAGCGCGGTCGCCAGCAGTTGCCAGTCGTCGGCGCGATCCGCTACGGGAGAGCCGAGTCGCGCGCTCCCTCGACTCGTCGAGGTTTTCGCGAGCCGTCGCGACTCTCGCTAATTGATCCTTCCCTCGCCTGAGACTAGTCGGGCGAACGCGCGCGCACGCGAATAGCTCTAGGAGTCCCAATGCAGGGATAAACCGGTTCTTTGGGCGCGTAGCGCCGGACAGCGCCGCGCCGAAGATTGCGCCAGCCGGCACGAACAGGCGCGAGCGACAAGCCGCGAGAATGCTCTGAACTCGGCGACAAGTGGCCTCTCTTTCTCTCTCTCTCTCTCTCTCTCTTTCTCGCTGTCTCCGTCTTTCTCCCGCGAGTGCCACGAGTAGTGTCGCGAGTGCCGTGGGCCGCGAGGCGAGGAGAACCGAGAAGAAAGGAGATAGGCGACCCTTGCGACGCTAGTGACGCCGGTGCCGCGTGCCACGATGGACGAGGAGGAGATCGACGGCGTCAAGTCGCCGATCAAGAGGCTCGGCTCCACCAGGAAGCTTCTCGTCTTTAACAGTGAGTTTTCCTCCCCGATTATATGCTAGTTGGTGAAAATTTCGAACCATCCGCGATTTTCATCAAGACTTGATGGAACCTTATCGATGATCAATGTCTCGACTCTAATCTATCGAGTTATCGATTCTTTGACTTGTCGCATCGCGAATGCACTGGATGCCACTTTGGCCAGAAAGGGTCGAGCGTCATTAGCGACATTGTTTGGTACGACACGGTCACGCGGCGCCACTAATGTCGAGGGCAACGGCGGCCGGACTTCTCGGCGTTGATTTTTAATCGCCTCTAACTGATAATGCCCTTGTATTCTCGATGGGTTTTGAGGAAAGGTCGCGCGATCGAGAGGCGAGGTGTCGCGAAAGCGCAGATGCAAGTCGTGGCGAAGCGAAAGTCCGCGCTATGCCTCCGTGTGCAACCGTAGGCGACTATCCGTGTCGAATTGACGCTATCACCTCGCCGCGCCGCCGCGTTGCATAGCTGCACCTGGAGGGCAAATATATATCCAGGAGAACGCGACATTTAGCGCGAACCGAGGGAGGGGGACGCTTTGAAGCGTTACTTCCCTTTGTTCGGACTGGATGTTCACTTTCGCTGGTGGGAGTAAGGGGTGTCCCTTGCACGGTCCATCGTGAACTCGGAACGAGATTTTTTTAATACAAAAAATAATTTTATGTCATTCCTTGGACTCAAGAGTTCTGTATTTATATCATTCGAGGGATCTTAAACGCTTTACGTTTGTCTGGTTTTCCGAAAAATCCTGCCCAAGAATTGGACGCGAGAGGTTAATCTTTTTTTTTGGGACAGGACTATCCGAACTATTCCGAGGTACTCGAAAGATCGGAATCGGTCGGTATTTGGATATTTTTGAAATCACTTATTGAGAGAACCATGGCTTTGCGGGGAATTCTGCCATGACGGCGTTTACAGAGGTGTAAAAAATGCCTAGTGGAAAACGATGATTACCCGGCCCCTCCCCGCATTGCGTTGGGTTGGGTCGCGCAAGAGGTGGATGCGCGCGCATCGATCCCAGGACGGCAGCTGATTGGTCGGCGCTGAATCTGCGATCGGCCGTTGAGCGATCGCCGCCCGGTCCGCATTGGCCGATGATTGGTCGATGCTTTGGCCGCCAGCGGGAAACGAGATGCATGCGAAAACACGAAGGTTGTGAACTCCTAGGTCTGGTAAACACGCGGTGGATGTTGGGGAGGGAGGTTCGGCCGGTTACGGCACGGCGGTTATCGAAAGCCAACACCCCAGGGCCGAATCGTTCCGAGCCGGTGCAGCGCGACGCCGGGAACTCGAGCCGGCTTTCGCCGCCGTTTCCACCTCGTTCGACGAGTGGAGTGGATGCACCTCGGAGTGCAGCCAGGGTCGAATGGATGTATCGATGCTCGTAGCGTGGGAATTCTATTGATTAACGCCCCGATACCTTTAACCTTCGGGAATTCTTCAATTTGAACCACGTTTACCTCCATCCGGTCCAGACGGTCTCGTGGTAACAACATGTGGGGACAATCACGATGCAATGGTTCTTCAAGGTGTATGCCAATGCGCGGCCCTTTTGATGGGCTAGTTATATTGAACTTGTACCCGCGGAAAAACAATTTGCAATCGTGAAAAGATATTTCATTCGCTGTAATCAAATGTGAACCCCGGAAAATGTGCCAGACAAATTTTTGTCCGGAAACATTTTTGCCATGTTGACAGCGAAGGAAATTATTACTTCACTAGAGCAGAGGAATTTAATTCATGGTTGCAATATTCTTCCTTCTTTGCCGTTGGTGTAATTATTTTTACGGCAGGGGCAGAATTTTATCGGCAATACTGTCCTTTGTTAAAGGTGCGAATTCCTATTTTTACGTGGGAAAGCTGGCCGCGTTAACTGGCCGATGGCGCTTTTAATAGATTGCAATTGCAATGAGGCGACGTTTTGGAAGAAAAGAACGAGTCCAATATATTACCTCCAGAGCGCGTCGCGGAGGGGATCGAGGAAATCCAAGATGGCGGCGGCACGGCGTCGAGGGAGAAATGCAATGCGGCGGGTCAAAAAATCGCAGAATGGCAGAATTTCGACCGCGCTAATGGGATCGACGTGATGAAATGACTTTTGTACGTAACGATTACGCAAAAGTCGCCGTTGCGTTCGGCCGCGATCGCGAGAATTCGACCCGAGCCGCCGTCGGCTTTGAGCACGGATGGGCGGGCGCGAAACTTCCGACGAAATTCCCACGCGAGGACGCGTCGCGCGTAAATTGCAATCGGAACGGAACGGCCCGTAACTCTGCTTGGAGTGAATAACTTGCGCGTGACTTATGCGCGCGTAATGCGGGGGTTACCCGATAAACTGGCCGATTTTACGGTCCGGCGCGGCGCCATCTTGGACGCCGGAAGGAGCGGGCCTCTTTCGCGTTCCGCGTTCCAGCGGCGCCTCCCTTTACGTTTTCTTCCTCCCACGTCCATTAAAGATATAACAAAAACGGAGATAACGTTTGTTCGTTCCGAGTGGAAGTTAAAATCACGAAGCAAAATCTGCAAACGATTAACTGCGTCTCAGTTTACGGTGGCGTTGCGAAAAACCGAGTCCGATCCTCCCGTTACTCCGGTTCCGTCTCGCGCCGTTATCGTGATATTCTGGACGGATGTCGCGCATTTGACAATCGGATGTGATGCTATATCGCGTTTTTGAAACGAAACTCCCCATGGCGCGATAGTATGTTTCTGAGTTTGTTCGGACGTGGAGACGCTTTTATCTTCTGAGAGAGTGATTAAGAATAATCGATAATTAATAATAACTGCCAATGACGAATGTTAACTGATAATCACTGACAGTTCCTCATTAATTTACAAGTTTCACTGCCAATGCGCGAAGGTTTCACTCACAGTCCGCAAATTCTTGGGAAATTTGCAGACGGTCAGAGAGATCTTTTTCAAACCGCGGGATGAAATTTTGCCACGGGGGAATCTCGGGGCAAGGGCGCCGGCGCGCGCGTCGCCACGGCTCGGCGAACAATTGGAGCGATAAGGAATAAAAAAAGCCTCGGCAGTCCCCTCGAAGACTCATCCAAGGGGTGTCCCGCAAAGAAGGAAGTCTTCCGTGCGATGGTTCCGATTTAACGCGCCGCCGGCGTCGGCGGCGCCGCCGATATACGTCGAAACGCGCCGCTTCGGGCTTCGGAAAATCCTACGCCTCTATTTCGAGCTCCCTTCTCGCGGGTGCACTTTTCTCTCCTCTCTTCTCCCGATGCGGTCTCGTTTTTTTGTTCTCTTCTCCCCCGTATCGCCGTTCCTCGCGCCTTCTCGCGTCATCTTATCCTTTCTTTCGAGTCTCTTTGGCTCGATTTGATTCTATCCGAAAAATACAAGAGGGTGACGGTAATGCAAGCATTACGACTCCGGGCGGCCTCTCTTGTATGCGGCAGAGAGCGGGAGGAAGGAGGAGTGCCGACATTTCCGGCCTCGACGGAGATATTTTCGAAGGCGGATATGGCTATTTTCGGGGTTTCGAGGGAACTTCTGGTTTTTAGGTGTCGGTCGCCGCCGACGAGTGTCGCGGTGGCCTTTCGTCGGGGGATTCACCCGCAATTTATTTCCTCCTTCCCTGGTCCGCCTGCAAGAAATGAGAAACCAAAAATTAAATGCATGGACACGCCTGGGGATTATTATTTTTTTTTTTCATAAAAAGAAAATATAAAATATACATATTCAGATCGCCGATCTCCGATTTCGTTTAGTGAGAAACATGACTCATTGAGCCAAAGAGATACGTTTTAATTTTTTAACTCAAGGAATTGTAATTTCACTAGAATCAACCCCAATTTATCGCGATTCCGAAGAAACGTTGCCTCCGGTTTATTCATGCGAGTCAAATACTTATTCCTTGGATTAACCAAGTATTTTTTTAGCGCCGTTCAATTGTTTCTATGGTTCGATGGGCCCTTTTTTCTCTGTGTAACCTCGAGGTCCCGCAGGGGAATTGCGCTCTCGTTATCTTTGGCTCCCCAAAGTTTGGCCAGCGCGAACCCTACGCCATAAATCCCGATCTTTCCCTCGTGGGCTCGTTTTACG